GATTTGTTATTAATCTAACTGTCAAACACGGGTCATGGTGCAGTGTTAAGCGTTGTCTCTCGACGCTTAAAGCACACTGTTCATTCCTGTCACAATACGGTACATGAAGGTCATCAGGTGTAGAAATCTTCAAGATCACCATGCAAATTAATCAAATAAATGAGAATGGAAAGACATCGACAAAAGTAATGGTTTGACTGTAGTTCTCATTACTTGCCAGATAGAGATGTTTAAACTTTGGAAAGCAAGTAAAGGCTGTACAAAAATAAAGTATATATATAATTTAAGTTTTTTAAATACATGGGAATGCAAACATGCTGGATAACAGTTTGAGCTCAAAGAGTCTCATAGCTTCCTCTGAGCTGATTTTGTGGTGTAGGAGGCTGCTGCTCAGTGGGTAGGTCTCGACAAGCTCCTTATTTGGCTCTTTCTTCCGCTGAAACAGACCAGGGCCATGTCCAAAGAGTATGGCATCACTGCAGTGTCTGCTTGCTGCAGAGAGGAGCAGCGGCTGTGGGCGGCAGTGGGTGGAAATCATCAAAGGTGAAGCAAGCATCTACTGCAGCTACATCCATCTAAATATCATGTGGACTCTTCCTTGCAGAGCTTCAATAGTATTCTTTATTTTTAACAAAACCCATGTTCAATCATAAAATGCAAACCACCTGTGGGGGGTAGGTGATATTTAAAAAATGATATTTCAATATATTTTTAGAAAATCCCCTTGACAATCATGTAGTTTAGCAATCTGTCAGAAATGTGCTCAAATTTATTTGTAAATGTTGGGGTTGAGGTTCAAGTAACCCACCAAAATGAATGGAGTATTTGCTAAATTTGTATTACAGACTTTACTTGTTATTCTAATTTTGTGCATGTCCAAAATAAACCGTTAGCAGTAAGTGCTTTTGTGTGTATGCAATTACACTTAACAACAGATGTTTCCGGGTCTTAAAATGCTTTTACTACAAAGGATGAAGACATTGATTTCAAACCCCCCACACGGGGGCAGAAGAGGCTTCAGACAGATGATCCAAAGTTGTATTTGCTCATACACACTCACACAAACCATGAATGGCTAGCACTCACTTCACAGTATGAAGATCCTAGGTTTGACTCCTGGGCAAGGCATGTTTTCCCAATTTCTGGGTGGGTTTCCTCTGGGCATTCAAATTTTTCCCATCAACCTAAAACTTGTACAATATGCAAAATCCTCTAAGTAGGTGATCCCGATGAAGTAGAGCTCAAGATCTGGAGATGGGTCCCCAGCTGCTACAGAGCAGCTGCCCACTGCTCCAGACAGGTTGCCCCAGCAGCTCTGTATCAGTCCTTTATTTACCATGGCTAACAGAAAATGGCTGTAAATTTAAAGATTTGTTTTTTTTTATGTGTCAGCCATATTGGATCATCCCTTTAAGCCACATAAAGAGTTGTAAGACAGGGTATATTAGTGTTGTGTTGCTAACTTATTGGTTTTAATTGGTACCGCCTGGATTTGAAACTTTTGATAAAATTGGCTTAGGTCACCAAAGGAACTTCGCATTCTCACATTAATCAATAAATCATTTGACAAAAGATTTCAGCAGTGCTACAGTTTGGCTTCCTGTTGCTCTTGTCTTCCTTGTGGCATTCAGTAGTGTGGAGGAGGATGCCTCATTTATTCTAAGTTACACAACCGTCTTGGGAAAAAGATGGCCAGCCGCTGACTCTAGTATAGCACCGCAGTAGCAGCCTGTAGCAGCCAGTAGCTCTGTGGTTTCGGCGAGGCTTTCCCCTCTCTACTCTCGTTCTTATTGAACGCGCCAATCCTAATCTCTCGGCTGGCAGTGTGTAGCATCTGGGGAGGTGCTGACAGGGGCACAGTTAAGGGTGGAAATAGCCTGTTGATCATGCACTGAAGCTGTTGTGTAAGCTGTGATCTGGATGGGTGTATGTGTGGGGGGCTCTCATTAATGTTTCATGGACTTGCAGCGTGAGCGTGAACAGGAATTAGCATTTTGGTAACATTCATTCATATAAAAAAATAATAAAAAATAGTCTCGTCAGTATATTTTCACTTCATCGTAATATCAGAAAAGATTATTTTGACAACTACAGGTACCTCCACATGCTCCACATATGGGATTACACATATTTATCTCCATGAAGTTAAGCAGGTGATGCCACTTCATAGATCTGGACAGACATTGCAGGTCAGAATCCTGGGGGGGTGACCATGCTCAAAGTAAGAAAGTGATTTTTTCAAGAAAATTCCAGGCAAAGCAATGTAGTGATATGGTAGTCTTCCATTGGTAAGTTATATGATTAAAGGGACAGTTCGGAATTTTGGACATAGAAAAGATTTCCTAGTGAGCCAGAGTGTTGGAGACGTGTAGAGACACTTTTTAAAATATTCCATCAAGTCTCTGTATTTGCAGAGGTCGCTGGTGCTAGGCTAGCGCATGTCAATGGCCATAGTTATCCTGCCACTAAAAACAGTCTTACCCACTCCACAAAACACCCGGAGCAAATCTATTATTACGCTAGTTTATTTCCAGTGAAATTAGGTTCTGTGTCCAAAATTCTGAACTGTCCCTTTAAGAAATTAAAGCAAGCTGCGATGCAATTTTCTATTAAATGTCATGAAGGTTTGGTACACTTTATTGTCCCCTTAGGGAAATTTGATGTGTATTTGTATGGAAACTGGCAATACGCAATGCATGTGTATGTGACAGAACATTTCATGCTACACAGGACTAACAGTTTTGCAGTAAAAGGCAAATACAGCAAACTGTGTGTCTCTGAATGCTGACATATGTCTCTAATCTGGTTTTAAATTTAATGGTTTCTATAAATCTAATGCATTGATATTAACAAGATTAAGCACTTCAGGTTAAACTGCACTGGCGAGCTCCAGAGTACAACTTTTCACTGTCGTTTATAACATGGTGTACTTTCCCAAACCGGAGCTGAGATGCTTGCCAGTCCACGTGGGCCAAATGGCGGCACATTCAATGGGAAACACTTAAAACAGCTCCGGCGGATGAGTCTGACTAAAGGTGCTTGTCCTGCAGAGAGTGGGTGTGTTGTCCAAGATAGAGTGGAAAAACTCATCCTCTCCTTATGGGTGGTACAGACTGCAGGCTATGACACCGCCAGCTCCGTTTCAAACTCCCCCTCCTCAGTGTCACCTCACATCCACCTTAGTATAGTCCTCCGGGAGAGATGCTGTAGTGCAAATACTGGATGACACAAGCCTCCCAGCACCGTCAGCACCAGTATCGTCATATTGAAACGTCACATTGAAAATCACTGTATGGTTATCAAACTGCTTATATCTGTCTCATCTTTGCTACAGAGGTCAGCTAGCACCTTCTGCTATGTCTGCTTCAGGCAACATCAGTTCACTTGAGCTAGTCGACACTGTAAATATTGTGTTTGTCAAGTTGGCACAACGTGTGACATTTCAAACATCAGATTCACAGCACGGAGAAAAAGCTAATAAGCAGCTTTTCAGGAAATTAGTATAAACAAAAAAAACATTATTTAAAGATGTCAAAAAGCAGCAGATTTGATCACATTAATTCTATCACATTACACTGTAGAAGGTATATACTGTCTTGGATTCTGTAGCTCAAAATTACTAAATGACAAGAATGAGCTAAAAGTGTTAAGTGTGAAATATTATTCTATCACTAAAGAATATTCCATTTGTGGAGCAATAAATATGCACAACAGTCTCGATAGCTTATAAAGTCAATCAAAATGAAAAGATTAGTTTCTAAACGACTGATTATGGGATAATCACCCCAACAGTGGAGAGTGTAATCAGGATCCTGTGGTGACAGAGACACACAGCAGACCTAACTGACAGTGAATAGGCCACACTCGAGATAACAGCTGTTGTATTTTGGTAGCTCTGGGTGCAGAAATATTCCTAAAACAGCTGAATCTTTAACTGTGTTAACTGACAAACTAAAAGGCTCCACTTCAATATACCCAACTAGAAAGACTGTATTTCACCTGTCAGTCACCAGTCACATGCTCTTGTAGTGGTATACATATTTGTGTCTGTTTTCTGGTCTTCTGAAATAGGCTACGTATTGTGCCAAATGCAAGTACAACACAGTTTAAATAATGTTACTATGTATTATGTTCTCTCTTGCGTTAGCTCCATTTTATTCACCACAGGAGACTTGCCGCCTCTGGTGTCAGTATCACAGTGCATACTCTACTCTGTGTCGCCTTTTGGGGGTACATAGGATCCACCCCAAACAACCTTGAAAATCCCATTACATTTCCTGGATTTTCAGGAGTGGTTGCCATGACAACAGTGCATTTTATTTCTGGCTCTTTTGAAAAGTGTGTGAGATTCCAGTTGTTATGTAAGATGCCTACTGCGCTCCAGACGGGGGTTTTCCTACTACAGAGAACTTAAAGTAATTAATTATAGGGCAATGTCAGGTATTGTGAGATGCAAACAATACTTTATTCCTGGGATAATTTTCTTGTTACACAGGTGCTATGTGTCTAAGCATAAGTAAATAAACAGTAGGAACATATCACAAAATATGTTATTAATTGAATAATTAATGAATAACTTTTAACAAGCTGAACTGCAATGACCCATAGCAAATTAAGTTATATATGATTTTCAGGGTATTTAAAGGAATCTGCCTTCACTTTGCTCATTAATCATAAATAGCCCTATGATAAGAAAAATGGTAATAGTGGTCCATCTTACACTTGGGATTGCTTCAGGTGTGAAAACACATTAGAGGGAGATCCTAATGTTAATGTAACATTGACAAGCTGTTTTCTGTAGATGGAGGTGTCTGCTTTGGATATATTTTCAGATGATATCAGAACTGTTCTGTAGTAACACAATTATTTAGATACAGTGATGACTTCTCCCCATCATCTGACATGTGGGACATCACATTGGCACATTTAAGAAGATAACAATTGCTAGTTCACTAATGATAGTGTCTTTTTTTCTTCCCTTATTTTTTGAAACAGATCAGAAGTGTTCCCCTTGGTCCCCGTCTCCAAAGTTCCATGAAGGCAGACGCTCCCCACCGGGCCGGAACATGAAGGGCTTATCGGGGAGTCGCTCCCAGCACCAGATCCCTTTAGCTCATGGCTTGGACTATGACCCTCATGTCCACGAGGTCCATGCGCACCATGGCCCCGAGTCCCGCCACACGTCCTACCTGCTCAGCCCCACGGAGAGCTGCCCCATGGACTTCCACCAGCGCTACTCTCCGCGGAGCTCCATCCACTCCGACTGCATGCTGTCCCCAGTCCTGATGGCTCCACCTGCCCCAAACGAACACATCTCCAGCAGCACTTTCCCTCGAATGCACTACAGCTCTCAGTTCTATGACACGGCAATGCGAGATGAATGTGCGGCGATCACAACCTCGGCCACATCCCCTGCTGTGGCTGCTGCTTCCTCCCACCACCCGGGCACCAAGAGCAATCGACTTCCCGCCAACCTGCTGGACCAGTTTGAGAAACAACTGCCACTACATCGCGACGGCTTCCACACGTTACAGTACCAGCGCACCACTGAGCAACGCAGCGAGAGCCCTGGGCGAATCAGACATCTTGTTCATTCTGTGCAAAAGCTCTTCACAAAGTCACACTCCCTCGAAGGATCGTCTAAGATGAATGGTACAAGAGGGGACAGTATAGGTGGCGGAGGAGGAGCAGGGAGCTATCACCATCACGGCCATCACCCTTCCAAACATGGGAGCAAAAGGAGCAAGAGCAAAGAGCGCAGGCACCGCTCAGGAGGCTGGTGGAGTTCAGATGATAACTTAGACAGCGACAGCACTTACCGGCCCGCCAGCGTCATGTCCCGGCACCACGGGGAGCATCATTGCTATCCCGACCACATGCACAGCCACCACTTTGGAGACCACTCACTCAAAGCCTCCAAGAGTAATAATGATGTCAAGTGCTCGGCCTGTGAGAGCATGGCTATGGCGCCTGAAGGCAAGTTTATGAAGAGGAGTTCGTGGTCAACGTTAACAGTGAGGGAGGCTAAAGAACACTACAGGAAATCATCCTTAAATCTGGACAAGCCCATGATGCACACCGACCTCAAAACTCGCACCTGTCATTACCTGCAGGTACGTGACCCTCTACTGAACATTTCTTTTCTTTTGTCTTCTGTTGGACTGATGTTAGTCACCACACTAAGACTGGATGCACACTAAAGGATTTTAAGCCAGATTTTAAGACCAATTCCCCTCTCCATGATTTCAGGAGATGAGGCCCGAGTAGCATGGCGCTTCGGATAAGCATTTATGGTATCATGTTTTCTGAGAACTCTTAGGGCAGAGTGCTTCATTTAGCTGAGGTTAGTGGTACATATGCTATTTTTTCTGAGGGATGAGTGTGTAATTGTGTATCCTCAGGGCAACAATAAAGAGATTTTCTCATGAAAAGCAACAAATGAGCTCCAAATTAAGGTAATGTTATTGAGCCAAATACATGGTCTACTGAGTAACGGCTGCCTTGTTAAACACAGACTGCACAATCAATGCTTGTGTATTGGGATTGAAAAAACTGCTTGCCTTTATTGCTGTCTTTAAGTTTGATTCAAGGCCAGAAAATTGTTGTATATTATTCTAATCATGCGGGAGCGGGTAAATGTATTTATAACAAATTAGTGAATGTGACAGTTTTAATAATGAGGCCTTGAGGCTTGGAGGAACACATTTGGTTATTATAAAGTAAAAGGGAGGGACTGTACTCCTTTTTGTAGATTGTATGCAGTTCATTTAAATGCACTTTTAAAGAATGCCTTACGTAAAAAAAGGGGTCAAAACTTTGAATGTAATCTTTTTACTTGTAATATATTTGTGATCCAAATTATATTTATTTTCTGAAAACCTATACATCACCATATTAAATTAAGTAGGTCCTGTCTTCTCATATGAAACAAATTATTGAGTCTAAGGTAGCCTGACAAGGTGTGATAGTGACAGCAGTGTCAGTGTCAGAGACTACAGAGCATTACTCCATAGCTCCAGGTGGAAAGGGGAAAAAGTCAGTCTGTTCTCTGTAAGGAGCGCTCAATGACTGAGGCAGAGAACTAGCCAAGCTCAGTGATTGGGTGAAGTGAGGGGAATCAGAGGGAGGCAGAGGGCAGCCCTGCCCAATGGGAAAAATACATTTAGACTACAAGTGTCCAAATATATATACTAGATCTAAAACCAGGCAAGAAAACACACAGTCACAGACTTACAACAAAGTCAATGATGATGATATAAACACAACAGTGTATTATGGGATCCCAAACACCTGCAATAACAAACAGCTTTTAGCTAGCCAACATAACTGGACTTAAATATACAGACATTATACAACAACAGGCCATACTTTCTTCTATATTGTAAAATAACAATGAATTGAAGTACTGATTGATAATACAGTTGTGCCTTGGCTGCAGGTGCCCCAAGATGAGTGGAGTGCCTACCCTGGAGACAAGGACGAGGAGATCCCGTGTCGCCGAATGCGCAGTAGCAGCTACGTCAAAGCCATGGGTGAGATCGACGATGAGAGTGGAGATTCAGAGCCCAGTCCCAAAACTTCACCACAAAACGCCATACGACCAGACGCGCTGGTCCTGAAATCAGCCATGAGCAGACCTCATTTAGACTCCCACAGGTAGGACAGACCAAGTGTCTGACCTATTACTATTCATTTTGTTTAAGCCATAGAATTATGTGGCAAGTTATTGTATTTAAGCATTTTAAAGTTAAGTTTGAGATATACTGTATAATAGGGATGTATATTAGTTTCATGATGATAAACTACTGTTAATTGTTGCTGTAGTTGCCTTTTCATTGTGATAATGATTCATAGGAAGAGGAAACTCAACTTTGGGGACAATTACACCGTTCTCTATTGGGAAACACTGTGAAGTAAGCCTGTCTGGTGTGAACTTATAGTGCTACATTGTTAGCCTGCTCTTAAGTGCTCTTGGTTAAGTAGTCATTCATATTCTGACAGAAATGCTGTGTTACAAATAGGCCTCTTTATTCAATCACTTCAATATTTGTGTCGCTTAGAACTAGGATATATTTAGACCTCACTCATTACAGCACTGTTGCAGCAAACCTGTCACGTTTATACAGTGTGCCAGCTGCAGGAATTCTAAAATGTGTGACTTGGTTAAAGAGATTTGCAGAATTGGTTTTGGGCAGTTCAGTAAAATGTTACAGTATCAGAAGTATAATGAAGAGAAGTAATAACTTGGTTGTGAAGATCTTTAATTCTTTAAAGTGCAAATTCTCTTAAATGTTCTCTGCTGCTGGGAAATCAACAACTTCATCAACCAAAGGTTCATATTGTCAGTTATATTGTTCCATCTTGAGCTGCTGCTTGTTTTTAGCCTTTGCTGTTTACAGAACTTAAGCTACTGTGTCAGTGGAGAGATCAGTTTTAATGTTCAGTGATTTGCTCAGTTATTGTTTTTATACCAACTATATTCTCCTGGGAAGTTTATATTTTGACAAAAAGATGCTAGGTAGTAGCACAGTACTGATGAAGACACAGGTGATTGGACAAATGCTGCCTTTGTTGAATTTGTTGTGTGGCTGTTGAACTGTGCACTCGTGTCCACCCCTATCCCTTATCCTTGTCCAGCCAGGGCTACCAATTGCAAACCAGAGACATGCGGCCCCACCATAGCGTTACACTGGACCCCGCCACCACCTTTCACCCCCCACCTTTCCGCTCTCGTAACCAGAGCTACATGCGTGCTGTCAGCACCCTCAGTCAGGCTAGCTGCGTAAGCCAGGTGAGTTTAAAGACACTGTGCCAACTGCAGGACACAAGAACACATTACACTTGTCAATAAGAAAATCAATCAATACGTTTGAATGTTGGGTCAATATAATTTATATATTTAAATTATATTTAATCATTGCAAAAAAGTAAAATTGTGATCACTGATTTTCCAAATAGTTTGATAACAAATGTAGCTTTGACAAAATATAATATACTCATATTTTTTAAATGCAAAAAAGCTCATCAATAATACACACTATGTGTTTGCTTAATGTTGTGCTATACATGTCTGCAATGTTGCTTAACACACACTGAACTGATTTGTTTTTGCTGTGCTGTCATTTGCATTTTGATTTAATTCTGACGTTCATCCGTTCAGTTTAAGGTCCTTTTGACAGTGGCATGTCCTTATGCTAACGCTGCTCCATATTTGCTGTGCAAAGGGGAAGAATCAAAGTGAGAAAGAGAAAGGAAGAGGAAAAATTAAGGACTGCTATTCCTGTTTTTGTCTCTCAGGTGAGTGAGACTGAGATCAATGGCCAGTTTGAGTCAGTTTGCGAGTCCGTTTTTAGTGAAGTAGAATCCCAGGCTATGGAGGCCTTGGACCTGCCCGGTTCGTTCCGCACTCGAAGCCACAGTTACCTCCGTGCAATTCAGGCTGGTTATTCCCAAGATGACGACTGCTTGCCTTCAATGACATCCTCCACTGTCACTTCAACTCTCAGATCCACAGGTAAAATGATCCCCCCCAAAAGAGCAAGGGTTTAGACCACATATCCCCATACATGATCCTATACATACGCACTACTGTAACATACCTACATATGTACAGTGGGAACCCTTGAGCTTCAGGGATGCCAGGCTGAATGACACCCTTTCCCTTAGCCACTACTGTGTGTGTCTGTTACCTCTGCATACCCCCCACCCTTCTGATCTGCCTGTTGTGTTAGTTTGCACGATCTCTGACTTAGTATTTCAGCTTCTGATTGGCCACTTGTTGTTAAGAAGCATCTAGATTGAGGGTGGGATGGCCCCTTCATGTACACACTCACTGACAAAACACAGAACCACTAAACCAACACATGGCATGCCTTAGTTGAGCAGGCTCTACCCTAAGCATGTGATACTGTGGTGTTAAATGTATTGTGAGTTACTTAGGGAGGGGATACATTTAAACACATGATAAAAACATATATTTTAGAAATGCAAGGTAAGTTCCCATAGAGAATATTCCACACATGTTGATTGCACAAAGATGCTGTCCATTTAATGATCACATTATGTTGTATTGTTTGAAAGTGGTTTGAGTAATCACAGGACAGAGAATTTTTCTTGACACTGAGCTGCAATTAAAAGTAGGGGATAACTAAACGATAAACACTGTGCCAAATATGGCTAAGAACAAATCTGCCTCTTTGTGCAAACATACAAATTAGAAACCCTCACTAAGTGCATTTGTTTGATGCTTGGACGAGTAAAGCTATGAACCCTATTGAAACATTTTTTGTAAATTTTTGTGTCTTTGTGGATAGTAAATTGTACTTTTTGTATTATTTATTTTATCTATCAATTTGGACTTTTGTGATCTTCAATTGGGGTTGCTGTCAACAATCTCTGAAGCACTATGGACAAAGGGGTGCTCTTCAATCCCACCGTCTTATTTGCTGAACTCTTCGAGTAGCTCGTTGCTCCTACGCAAATAGTTGGATATTTAAAAAATAAGTTGAATATTTAAAAAAATGTGAAAAGGTAATTTAACAATTGCCAAATGTGGAGATATTCCAATTGCCATAGAATGTGTGTTGGCATTGGCATTGGCCCAACAATGGGCTAAATTTGATGGATTTACCTATTTGTTAGTATGTGGCACTAGCTGATGAGTTCATATGAGGTTAGGAGGGCCCTGTGTGGTGAAGGGCAGACGAGCAGCCAATCCCTCTGCATTTGACCATCCATCTGAAGGATAACCAGGGGAAAAGAACAACTGGATGATTGTTGCAGGTATTTAATGTTGACACGCATACATATATCTATGTGTGTTTTTGCACTGCCTTCTCAGTAAATATACAAGATAAGACTTTAGTACTAAGAAGTATAGCTGGTAGAATTTGTTCCTCATAGTAATTCCACCAAAACACTTGAGAACTCACTAACACTTAGATCATGACACTGTGCATATGTATTGGAGCTAAACATGTTTAAATAAAGACAACTACAAGAAAAATGTATATAGATATTTTTAAATAAGATTTTCAACGTAGCTCTTTTTATGACATAAAACGCCGTACATGACATTGCCACTGTCTCCAGTCATTGTGGGAGCTGTCTAAATGAGTCTCAAGCGTGGCAGTAAATGTGTCAGCTGTCTTTGACTGTGGGATTGCAGCCTCTTCCTGGTGGAGTCCAAGGGCCGTGACCCTTCCCCTCACCAGGTTTTCTATCTGCATGGTCTAATCCACCATCTTGGACCTGACATGTTCAATAGGGTTCATATCTGCCTCTTAATCCAGTCGAGTGTGATTATTCTAATTTCTCTTGACATCTTTTCTTTTGCACAAAAAAGCTCAATTCTGAGGTAATGGCCGATATTACTCTATAAACAATAACTTCTAATCTACTAATGGCTATAACTATGTTAATTAATGTATAACTCAATGCTTTATTGTGCTGTGCTGTGAAAAGATGGAAAGAAGCTTGATGAACCTTGAGTTGACTGAGAAGGCAGTGTAAAACATTGTGAAAGCCTACAGTATGTGAGAGTTTAAACAATTTGCCTTTTTTCCCACAATTCACAATGCGCTCAGTATGAGTACAGTCAAAAAAACAATGGCTGAAGCAGTCTATGTTGAAGTCCACTCTTGCACTGGTTCTCGCATACTGTATGTTTTCCATAGATATGTGTTTGTTAGTTGAGATTCCCATTCAACCAGACTCCAGCTGTTCTTTTCACTGTGAATATTCTTTGCATATCCAATCTATTTTTCAGAGGGATATGATGTTGTGGATGCCACCTCTTTACTAAATGATGACATGATAGAAGATGACGATGGAGCCAGCTCATCTGCATATGTGGAGCTGGAGAGGCTGGAGAGAGAGACAGCTGCTGCACGCAGCCAACACAGCACTAGTTCCACCGTAACAGCCATTTCTGTCCCACCGGCAACTCCACCTTCATACAGGGTTCCAGGAGCTTCACCTATAGCCACATCTGAACCTGCAGTCCCTCAGGCCATTCAGGCATTCAAAGAGTCTGCCAACATGGTTGCAGCTTTCAACATGCAATGGAAAGATGAAATCTCAGCAATGCGCTACGAGTTGGCGGAGCTACGACGGGACGTCTGTGGGGAGTTGAAGACTTTTAACAGCAACTTTTTCAACTTCACTCAATGCTACAATATGTGGACTCTGTGCCGGGAGCCGTGCAGTGACAGCACCACTCAGACAGACGACCGCGTGTCCATAGGGATTCAAACAGGCTCGAGCTGGGCTGTTCGGCAAAATACGGAGGATAAGTCAGTTATGTGTCAGCCAGAGCCAACACCCTTTAATATTATGGACTTCATGGACCCTCCACGAATTGAGATCATTGAGGGTACTCCAGAAAGCACCCCTGAGGGGTCTGGAAGTCCTGCAAGTCCCCTTCCAATAGAGGACTTTCCTTGGGACATCAACAAAAAGCAAAAGGCAAACAAGCAACAGGATATTATTTGTCACACAGGTGGCCACAGAAGCGCCAGTCTAGAATTATGGAGCCGCAAATACACTAGTGGGCCCATGTCATATCTGTCTATGTCATTTTAATCACTCTTATGTGCTGATTTTGCTACATGCTCTGCTGCATTAAAACCCACCTCTAAAAGCTGCTGCTCACTCACTGTCTCTGCTCAAGTTTGTTGAAATGAGTTTGATCCGGTCAGACTTCGTCGTCAAAGAAAATACATTTGCTGCATAATTATAGTCCATAATTATGGTCCATAATTATGGCGAGGGGCAGGGATCAATGCAGCAGAGCTGCAGGTAGTGGAATCAGCCTGTCATTGTGCACACCAAGAAGACAGGGAGATCCCAATACTAAAACAGTATTGACTCCATCAAGGGTGTGACAGTGTGGCCATTTCATGTCCTTTTATTTGTGTAGAGTGTTTAGCCATTAAAAATGAATTGCAGCAATGGCGACAGATGACTGTAAAAGATCAGAGTGATCCTCAAGTGCCAATAAGTACATCTATGTGATAAAAACTTAAAGTAGCTATAAATGAAACTATGAGGATCTTTTAAAATGTACTTAAGTATGATGAAAGAATTATACACCCTGCACATGAAAAATGAAACTCATTTTCATTCCAGTGCATAGGCAGTAGTATTACTGGACCTACAGACTTTTCAGTGTAGATGACAAAACTCAAACTACAAAGCTGGAGATGTTATTAAAAGCCAAATGTAATATTTAGCATTAGTGCCTAACAATGCAAAATAGCAATTGCTATTTTTCAGACCCAAGACCACAGATTAAGTGTGCTTTAAAAGCCATAGCCAAACAAGCAAGGTGCTGGACGCTGTATTTAAGGACACATTAATACTGGTATCTGGAATTGGCTCCGATCCAAGAGAATTTAGGGAATCTGGTATCAGTTCTAGGATATTTGTTGATGGTTAAGCCAAACAATTTAATGATTAACATAATTTTACAGGCTGCAGTTCACCCAAAGCATGTCTATCTGATGTTATTCTATAGTTACCTAAGAAATAATTAACAGTTGCATTACATATTTGGGTCACTTTAAGCTAATTTGTATGGACTGTCACTCGCTGCTGTTAATCACAGCAATAATGTGCACCACGAACCAAAAATTAGACCTGCATTTAAACAAAAACACTGTTTCATGAGAAAAGATCTGGTAAGAGAGCCTTGCTGCTACATTCTTCAGTTCAATAATCTACTGTCTATGTACCATTTCCTCTTTTTGCTGAATAATTCTCTCAAGCACCTGATGAGACAGAAAAATACTGTGAATAATTTTAAAAAATAATATTTTTTTACCTGTTCATTAAGAATGAGTACAGCATTAATACATTTGGCAATCAGTTTAATTGTAGTAAACAATAATAAATTTAAAATGTGCTTTATTTTATATGTTTGTAGCCTTTTCCTTTTAAAATATAAAACATATATTCAAAAGCTGTGGTGTAGTAAATAATACAGTCATACACAAATACAATTGTGAATCTATTAAAGCATTATGTATTAAAAAACACCCAAATCCCAACTGTGTTTGGGAAAAACCTGTGGTTCAAATGTTTACGTCACATTTGATTTGACACATAAGTTAGCGGCGAAGACAATAAGGGTTTTCATGAATCATATTGTATGAATGTACTGGCTTCAATTCATTCCAGCACAAACTGCACTCATGTTCAAACTGTGGATATGTATATACTGTACTGATTTGTACAAAAAAGTATTCTATCATTGTAAAAAAAAAACGAAAAAAAAAAACTGTGTTCTAGCGGCGCTTACAATTGAGTAGGGTTTTTTTTTTCTTATCAAATGGGGGTATTACAAAATCAAATTTTAACATTTTTCATTTTAGCCAATGCCAAATATAATTAAGATCAACTGATGAAAAGTGGTTGATGAGAGCCCTTCTCTAAATGGCAATGTCCAATGAGTGACACCCCTGCTAAGAAAAGCACTTTGAGTCTTCATAGGCCTGCTGCATAGTTTTATACAAACTCGTCTGTATATTTTTGTTTTTTCTTTTTTCTTCTTATTAGTGTTCTTAATCAGTGGACATGTTTTTATTTTTCAAGAGCCATCTTATGGTACTTAAAAGCCATAAGATCCATGACCATATGGTTAGCTTTTTAAATGCCACCTTTCTCTAGTCATAAGTATGAGAAGTATGAGGGAAACTGGTGGTCCTTATATATAGACAATCAAGGGCCGCGAATTCTTCTACCTCTGTTCGTTGTGTCCCCAGAGGAGAGGTGCAGTGCAGTACTAGAGAATGTACTACCACCGCCTCACTAGTGACTAGTAACTCTATTCATAATAACAACAGCTAATAGGCAACTTTTGTGGTCCATTGCAACCACTGACTTCATTTGCCATCTATCATCAACTTGTTAGATAGAAAGAAACTGGGTTCTTTTGTCCTCACTCAAAGAGTTATGAGGGCAGAGAACCATCACTGCACTCTGTGCAACAGGAAGACAACACTAGAAAAAGTGGCATTTTGAAAAGGTGTTAATTTAACAATAACAATTTCTTTTGAACAAATTCACCATAGGCTGAAGGCACCATAGCTCTGCTCTTTAAAATTTAAATTCAAACCTTCCCATTTTTTCTTAAAATGAAATAAAATGAAATCTTTAAAAAATAAAAATACTGCAATATATAATTAAGTCTTTAGTCTCCTTAAGTACCTACTGTCGCTACAAATCCAAATAGAAACTTTCATTTTATTTCCAGCCCAAGGTTGGATTAGCATATCATTATTTAGTACAAGGCACATGACTGTGACTATATTTATTAGTGTATATTATTAGAATATACTATGTGGATTACTGATTTTTAATGGTATAAAATACTGTTCATTTTTGAGTTATGGAATCAGTGTTCTTATTTTCTTGTTTCACTTTGTTTCCCATTGTTTGGGGGAAGCAAACCAATATAAAGGTGCTTAAGAGTGGCCAGTTATGATGTCTCCAATCTTCATTTATACATTCTATGCAAAATTTGTTGTATAGTGTCAAGCCTTCATATTAATCATGTTTAAAGGCTGGGAATGGAGTAGAGTTTGTAAAAAAAAATGGTATTGGTATTGAGGTTTTTTTTGTTTTTTTTTACCTAAAATCCTGCAATACTTTTAATTAAATGGTGGCATTTCTCCATTTGACAAGAAAGCGTGGCTGAGCAGTAACATGCATAAAGCCATTTCAATTGTTTAGAAGGGGCATGAGCAAAACTTGGGCAAGCAAAAAAATAAAAATAAAAAATAAAAATTGCAGGAGATATACAGGCCCATTTTATGTCTATTGCCGGATACTTCACTTTAGAGTGATAAAGAAACTGATGACCAGTCACTGTTGAGCGTCCATCTGACTGAGGGAAAAGGTGGATATGCTTGTATCATTTTCATGATAGTTCAGTTATTTCTGTTTTTTTGTTTTTTTTTAACTCACAGTAAAATTTGACAAAGACAACAAAATGTATACGTCTGAACTAATAATCACTGTACTGACTTGTAGGGTAAACTATACACAGCCTAAAAATAAGTACTTTATTTCACAATTACACTTTAATTTATTTTAAAGCTACCATTTGTGAGTTAATTTGACTTTCTTTACCCTGTAGATCGCAGATGTGAAACCTCCCCCCACCCCCCTCACCTGGCCAGGCTGGCCAATCTGAAAATGGTAGCTTTACATTTTTTTTGTTTTGTTTTTTTGTTTTGTCCTTTGAAGACAAAGTAAAATATTTAAGTAAATTATTACTTTTTTGGTCAGGATTGTGAATATTAAATGGTAATGATAATTTTTTTTTTTTTTTTTTGCTTTATTGTTTAGCCCAAAGAACAAGCCAATTGATTAAAATGTAGCAGAATTGTTGAGCAAAATAATCTATTACTATATAACCACAGTGTAAAAAAAATATTACAACTTTATCAAGAGTTATCTGGGATTAAATAATTATTTTTTCATCAGTCATATTATATTGTAAAAAAATAAATGTTTATTGTACGGTTTATTTATTCCTATTTGGAGATTTGAACAACAACTGTGTCACATACAAGGGTTTTGGGAGGACCAGACATTGTTTTAAATTATGTTCTTCTCTGCCTTTATCTTGAAATTAATGTATTTCTCTGTTTTGCATCAGCCATATTCCAATTTTCAGGGATCTTAAATGGCATTGTTTAGTGAAGCTTATTTTGTAATTTACAGTTACAGTTTCTTTTGAACAAATTAAACTAAAGTATTTGATTGTTCTTGTGGTGACTGGGGTTTGTGTATTGGCTTTACATTGGTGTAAATGTAAACATTGTACAGCATGCTACTGTATTTCACATCAAAATGGGGCTCATAGCTTTACAGTGAGGATGTCCACAGAGCACACACTAAAAACATACAGCATGGGTAAAGCACTGTCTGACATTCTGAGCATCTCAATGAAATCCAATGCTTTGTACTAAGTTATCATCTTTTTGTTTTGTTTCTTTCTTTTTCTTTTTCTATTTGTATGTCATTTTAGGCGCCCGTAGCTTAGCGGGGCGTAGAGAGTACGGTAGGTCTGGTAGGGAACCAGTTTATTATATCTTTTTTTCTATGTTGTTCATGCATTTTGTCTATTTTGTGTCAACGTTTGTCACTAACCATAGGAATATGTTATTTGTTTACCATAAGTAACTTACATTTAAATGTTTGTCTGCTTTTAAGTTGAACTCTAAGTTCCATGTTAACAATACTGACAGACTGGTCAATAGACAATGTACTACTGACTTGTGTCTGACTCTAGGTCACTGCTAATGTTTCTACTGCATTTGAACAGAGGTAAAGAACCTGTTCAAGTATGATGAAAATACATAATCTGGCCACTGAGTAAAACAACATTTGTTTGATTTTTTGTTCGTATGTTTTAAAGTTATAGTTCTGTTCAAATCCATTGATATTTTCTTACTTTAATCATTGTATTCATTTGACTCAGTTTAATCAAAGGGAATGAGGTCGGCCGACAGAAGCTAAAAGCTCTTACGTGGTGCAAGACAAGATGTGCAATATTTCTCTTTCCCCAAACCACAAATCAATGCAGAAAAATTATGAAATACAAACAAAGGCAAAGATATCCAAGGTCGGGAAGGCGTTTCTAATTATTCAACATCAACGCTTTACTGACCCCTTTTGACTATAGTGGGTTTGCTGATATGCAACCAAATGATAAAAAAGAATGAAAAATCATGTAATATTTGTGTACAAAAGTAGCTAATATGACATAGTATTCAACTGATTTGCAATGGTTCTCTGTATCACAAAACAGAAGTAAATCCACCCTGCATCCATGGGGGCATCACCACTGTATGTATATATGTATGTAAATGAAAAAGCAACATGTTTTACTGTGGAGTTGTTTAAGATTCAAATGCCAAACTTCCAGCAAAACGAGCTGGGCAACGACACACTCCAAAGTCCATATGTCCTCTGTCAAACCATCCAAATGTCCATTCACACAAGAGCCCTTTTCATCTATCGTCATGAATGACAAGTAGGAGGTCAGCTGCATTAAGCTGCACAAAGGTCCAAAATAGCACAATGCTATTAAAACAAAAAGCACTCATTGACGTAGTACTTTACAACATCTTAATTAATTCATTTTATCACCAACTTTGGTAAATTGGTAGCAAATAGAATTATATTATATTCTATTAGCTGCATATTATATTGTGAAAAAGTTATACTAACTGCAAATAAGTTCCCCCTAAAAATCATTCAGTTACAAAATACAAGTTTATTCATCCTTAAGGCTAAAATGAGTGCAACAGGAAATCTGACATTACTAGGGGATCATTCAGCTCTGTTTCAAGTAGGCACTTGTCCACTCCAAACCAGCCCTGTTGACCCCTTCTCCCCAGATCTCTCATGTCCATTTGTTACATCTCCAGCCCCCATGCTCATGCCAGTCACTGCCCACCATTAAGACACAATCGGTCCTAACCTCAGTGGGACAAACATGTCACCAGCCTGAGTACACAACCAAGGCACAAGTGGAGCGAGTCGGGACGGAAAGGGACAGAACTGACAGAACAACCACTGTCGCTTATTCTTGGCAAAATACAGAGTCACACCTTACATTCTGAATATGGAATTTCAGAGAATTTTACATTTTGGATACATTTGTTTACACTGCCAAAGATAAGTGGTGTGCACTGTGCGGCAATAACTTCATTCATGAACAAAGTGTGAACCCCAATAGTAACAGCCACTTGCAGCTGCTGTAAGGTGTGACTCTGATGTTGAGACAGAAATCATGAGAGTATCAAAGATACTTTATCACTTCAGACACACATTGGCAAAAACATCTGCACGTTGTGCAGGTGATTTCACAAATGCACCAATAAAGAGAACTCTCTTTTAGATGTTTAAAAGTCATGTTGCCATACCAAGACCAGCTTTGCTTACAGTACAGTTAGCACTTTTTGGGTAGGTAAGTTTCATATTATTTGCAGGATTCGTATGACATACATAAAATAATGAATAGCGTATCTTTGTTCTCCTTTACTCTTCATGTTTCACAGATCGACATGGCACTGACCCCCCATTTACACTTTAGTTGTGCGGTCCTATTCTTGTACCCATCCATCTGATCTGTTCACTGTATGCATGACCCAAAGAGCCGCACATGGGACATATTCTGTGTAAATTGGGGGTCAACTACACCATAATAGATTTAAAATTATTAAGCATCTATTTTGGTGATAGTGTGAAATTTCCAAGAGCGTCTTTCAGGGTAGTAAATGATGGTTCTTATCAACTTTTTCAAATGTTTTGATCTGTGTAGTAAACCAAAAAAATAATAATTTACTCAAACTGACTAAACAGTATTGTCGGATAATCCATAGTGTCTTTTCCCCCAATGATCCCCAATGAACTGTAAAATAAAAGAGATCTATTGAAATCGAGCAAGAGGCTTACAGGACAATACAGCCTTTTACTTCTATTGGAGTTATGCTCTAGTTCTTGACCCACCTGACTCACCAATGTGTTTATTTGGGTACACTTTTACAGGTAGGTCTCTTATTAAGATACAATACTGCATGTTTTTATGATGTGTACTGTAAAGTGGAGTCACTGCTGCCCAAGGATACATGATAAGACCTGGATTGGGCATTTCCCTTTCATCCCTTTAAAATACTTCAGGTACACCACAAAACCAATCAACAAAAACTGTAAATACTGAAAAATGGCCTTTTTGAGCCACAGGCTGCAAGGAACACTCTGAAATAATGAAAATAACAGCAGGTATAACCACAGTCCTGATCCAGATGTTGTTATGTATCCATGCAAAGTATAGCTCAGAGGCCAGCATAGTGAGAATAAAATATATATATAAAAAATAAATTATATATATATATATATATCTTTATATTCAAATTACAGAAGTTGCAAGTGAAATCTCGAATTTATCTTTTTTGTGATAGGGCTGCACAATTAATAGTAATTGAATCAAAATTTACATTTGATTTGGCCTTATTATCAAATTGCTAATTGTTTAGATAATAGAATGTTCTCTGCAAGAACTAAGTACCCTCTCTTTTTAGAGGAAAAAATACAAACACATTGAAATGGATGGGAAGTTTCATCAGTTCTTCTCTCAAATGTTAATGCTCCTGAAGTTGTTTACAATGTGCAATTTGAACAGAATCCTCCTTTCTAACCATATATTGCAAACCTAACTGCAACTGTACATGCTTTTTGACCAAAATTGTTCAGCCATAGTTGGTAGAATTATCTTTTATTTTTTATTTTTTTAAGAATTCTGCTTTTCAAAACTAGCCTCTGAGTTATCAATGGGGGATTTGGGACAGAAAACACAGAAAAGCTGGAGTTTCAACCTGCCTTTAGCTACGTGTAGCACAAGTTTTATTCAGATAGATTTTGTGGAGAAAGTTTTACTGCTAAATAAACATGAATGTGGCCAGTAAAATATATTTTTATCAATGAATTCTATGATTATTATTTGTACTAGACCACCTCCATGACTTATAAAGCCTGTGTTTTCTGTCCCTCAAAGTGCACTACTCCCTAGAAGATGACATATGTACCTGTCAAAACATCCAGCGTTGTCTGTTCTAGAGGAAGAGTTCTCTTGGAGTCTTGTATAACAGGACTGCACTGTGCTTTTCACAGGGATTCAGTTTCGTCTCCCAACTTCGTGCAGTGTGGACCGAGCACACCCGCCGCCAGGTACCATGGTCCCACACACACTTCATGCTAGGGCCAGTCTTTATTCAGTTGCTGTCATGCATCCATCAGTGTAGCTGAATCTCCACTTACTGCTCAAAGAGAAAAGCAGAAAATCAGGAAAAATAATCAAAGGAAGAATGAAGGAAACCATAGCACTCTCACGCTGAATGTTGAGAAATACAATTACATAAAGAGAAACATAAAGACATCCCAAATTCACAGTACCCAACGACCCCAATGCAGTACATAAATATACAGTATATTTACTAGCTACACTGTAGCACTATTTTTGTGAAGAAGCAATTCTTTACAAACAATATGTATTAATTTTTAAACAGAGAAACATCTGTATTTCTAAAGCAACACAAAAAGCAATACATTTGAAGGACTTGGTAAAACAAAACTTAGAAACTCTGGAGTGTTGGGCACCCTCTGGTGTTCATTCATTAGCACTGCTGTATTTACCGTCTTCCATATGCCTTTTATGAGTAGTAGCTCAGAGTAGTTATTAGCATATTAATGTAGATTTAAAGAAACTGATTATTTCAGATAATTTCCACTGCTGATTCACCCCAGCATTTTACCATAAGGTTTGAAAGACTGCCTGTCAGTTGCACATAACGTTGGCTTAGCAAAAACTCTATGAGCTCTAAAGAGTAAGTCACTTTCATTTTGGTATCCACCCACAGATTTACAGCTATTTTCAGTTGGAAAAAAAATTGGTTTGTTTCCTTATAACTGATAATACATAAACTGAAATAGAACTCTTCTCTTATGCCTGGCTATTTATTCTGTACGTTCTGTATGTACTCTACTTAAATGTACAGTACAGTATATGGCTATTCACTTTTAGCACATTGCTTTGTAATTCCCTTTGTACAAAAGACAAACTGGTCCCCATGTGGGTGGATTACCATCAGATTGTCATTTTCACAATTTCACTTATGCCTTTTTGTCACACATTCATACACGTCTAGAGCTGCAGCCGTTTCCCTCTCCACAGCCCTATGGTGCAATGCTCTGATATGAGTGAACTGCAGCACTCGGCTGTAAGCTTCAAGCTACATTTTTTCATTCACACTTTCTTTTTATCCTCTACCTTGTCGTTCTTTGTTGTCCTTGTCTCATCGCGCTTGTGCTATCCAGCAGTATCATATCCTCAGAGTTATAAGAAGACTCCACCTCCTGTGCCCCCACGCACCACCACCAAGCCTATTATCTCTGTGACAGCCCAGAGCAGTACAGAGTCCACGCAGGACGCCTACCAGGAGGGCAGGCATCCTCGGGGTGCTCTCTGGACCACCGACAGCCTGGGCCGCCCCATTTACAGCTCCACAGACAGCCTGGATAGCACCAAGGCGGTCACCATGGCCATGGAGTCTGCAGCAGGCAAGAGGCATGCATCGCTGGGCAGTCACAGCTCAGTCCAGACATGCGATAAAGCAGTGCTGGTGTCCAAGGCCGAGGAGTACCTCAAAACCCCACGCTCTTCCATAGGGATACAGGTAAAGCTGACAGGTGCAGAACAAGACCAACATTTACCTTACACATTACATGTGTGTTTGTTTCCAGGTGGAAACTGTGACCGACTCGGAGACAGAGACTAAAGGCCTCCCTCAGTTCCACTCCATTGGGATCCAGGTGGAAGACCATAAACGGTAACACAAAATGATTTACAAGGATAAACTTTCTTCTACACAGTGCATAGCTTGTTTTTCAAATTGTGCTCTAACTTTCAGTCGTGGGCGAGTCAAGCGTTCCAACAGTGTGACCACAGCAGTGCAGGCAGACATGGAGCTAGAAGGATTCCCCTCGATGGAGGACAAAGGGCTGCAGTTTGGAGGGGCCTTTGGGCGCCACTCTGAGCCCAGTACGCCCACTCAGTACGGAGCTGTGCGCACTGTGCGCACACAGGGCTTGTTCAGTTACAGAGAGGACTACAGGCCCAGCCCACAGCCTGAGTCCTGGCTCATGCAGCCCAGCCTGGAGAGCACCGACACAGGCCGAGTATCCCCAATCCGCAGGGATGGCAGCTGGTTTATGCAGCTTCTTCACAATGAAACCAAGAGGCTGGAAGGGTGGTGCAAAGAGATGGAGAGAGAGGCTGAGGAGCATGACCTGTCAGAGGAGAGTGAGTGTCTCAGGGATATGAACGATGGCTTGCTTCTTGTAAATGTTTCACAAAGAGCTTTTTCTGCGTTGTGTGTTAATTCTGTCCTTTTTTCTTTCTACTGCAGCATTATTTAAAGGTACTTTTCACTACCTCAATACTAAAATTCTAAATGCATCTCTCCCAAACCATCTTTTTTTAATTTGCACTTCATAATCTGTCTGTTCACAATTCACCATTACTTTTGAGCACTCATGAAGTGAAATGGTTTGACTTTAGAAGTGACAGCAGCCCACGGTCATTGCAGCCAAGCTAACAGTCACAGTATTAAGTGCTGCGTTGTGACAATGGCAGCAGCGTTTGAGAGCAAAGACATCACTCATATTTGCCCATGGCCGGCTGTGAGTACTGACACCAGCTCTTCTTTTTCTGTGTGTCCATCAGTCTTAGGAAAGATCCGAAGTGCTGTGGGAAGTGCTCAGCTCCTAATGTCTCAAAAGTTTCAGCAGTTTTACTGGCTATGTCAGCAGAATCTGGTGAGTGGACCAATGTGCCATTTATGTGTTTTAAACAAAAAGCAGCTTAGGGCTAAGTTTCTAATAGGTTTTCTATTTCTGGACTTGCCGGTGGCGCGGCATTTGCTTCTTTTCATTAGATCTCAAAAATTGATTGTTTCCATTACTGACCCTTCACCAAACCCAATGGGAATACGAATAAGAAGCCACCCTAGTGCAACCCTAGGCAGCCATATAGAAAAGGAAAACTTTCATAAAGAAGACCTACTGTACGTGTATTCTACGGCACCCATGAATCATCATGTTTTTTATTTGGACATTTTAAATTGCAGTATTCATCTAAAACGAATAAATTCTGCTTTAAAAAACTGCAATACCCAATGGGTGCTGACGGCGCCAAACGTCATCCTAACAAAGAGCCGTGAAGTTGTCAGTACCTCCTATGGGTAACTGCAGATTACACGAGCAAGCCACAGATTTTTTTTCATTTGTACCAAAATTACTTTACGACACTGCCGAATCCTATGCATATCACAGAAAATTGGAAAATAAACTTAGTACAGAGCAGCGGGCATATGCTATGGAGCTGAAGACGGGTGTTGATCTACAAAATAGTGTCTTGAAAATAAACGATTAAAGGTTGCATAAACATGCACAAATCACTCCAAATACAAGTTTGGGTGAGTAAATGGTGAGGGGAAACAACTACAACACAATTAAAAGCTCTGAAAAGAAGATTATGCATAGTAGGTTCGCTTTAATATCCACAGCCTCTCAGCAGTTCACTTGAGAGACTGGTGACTGCTTGATTCATAGTAGTTTTCATAAGAATGGTGGCAGAGCTTGAAGAGTACTCTCTATTGCACATCTTTAGTATGTCCTTAAATTGACCACTCTGTTAAAATATCTGTTTAAATATTTGGGTTATGAATTAAAGGTGCACTATGCAGCTAAATTTTCAGGAGGAAGGTAAACTTAACACTAAAGATTCACATATCTGGAGTTAGGGTTGGGCAATATGGGAAAAAAAAGAATTGTGTTTTTTTTTTTTGTTTGTTTTTTTATGTGCCTGTTCCATCTCTAGTTTATACTATTTTATGTAAAAAAAAAAAGTACTACATAAATAAATAGGGTGAATATGGTGAGACTCCCTGAGTCACCACGAACGAGGAGGCTTGGAAAGGACTGATTTTGTAATAAACCAAAAAGATAACTAGTGAACCAGGATAATAAATATTGCCAATGTCAATGTCAGAAAGCTACCCCTGTGTTTGAAACTGTAATTTTCCCTGCCTCCAACAGGACCCCAGTGCAATGCCCAGACCCACCTCTCAGGACCTGGCTGGATTCTGGGACCTCCTGCAGCTCTCCATCGATGATGTCACTGCCAAGTTTGATGAGCTACAGCAGATCAAGAGCAATGCCTGGCAGCTGGTCGAGAGCCCTGAGAAGAAGGTAAATGGCATCCAGTACATTTTCCCCATAAAGCACGTTCACTTCATTACAAAGAGCTGATGAGGTTTTCACTTTTGATTTGACTTTAGCAGCATCAAAAGTACTTCAGTACTATTCAGTACAATTATAAAATGCAATGCAGTGTAAGCAGAAAACAGAAAATGGTTGTACACTGTTTTGAAGAAGGATATAGCAAATTGTACCAGACTTAGAGTGCAACTACAACAATATTTTCTCCACATTTAGGAGACAAAGTGGCCTCCACCTCTGGCAAAGCGGCCTTCCAAGGGCCGTGGTGGCATCACTCGGGAGAGATCCCTGGACCTGGAGGATCGTCAACGGCAGGAGGCCCGCAGACGCCTGATGGCCGCCAAACGAGCAGCTTCTTTCAGACAAAACTCAGCAACTGAGCGTGCAGATAGTATTGAGATCTACATCCCAGAAGCTCAGACCAGGCTCTGAGGGCCTGGACTGAAAAGCTCCTTCATTTCCACCAACACCAGCCACCCACAGCTCATCCACTGTCATCAGTCCATCATCCTCAAGCTGCTCCACTTATTCAAGGCACAGTAAAATAAATGTGCTTTATTTATTTTTCCAGCACTGCCAGGGGACAGAGTCCCTCTCTATTGGATCATACGTTTTCACTACAAACTTCAATTAATAAATAGTGCTGTTGGCCATTCTGCTTTGAAGTGTAGTCATAGGTTATTATAGAGGTTTACGGGGCAATGTCTAGAGCTGCTTTCAGCTCTAATCTGAGAAAAAATTGCTGCTATTCATTCACATCATCCACCACTCTACATTTATGCAGAACATGTGTGTTCATAAGGTAAAAGATACAATGACATGTGGGGACACTAACTGACCAATATCATATGTCCCTCAGTGGGACATATCATAATAGTCTCACAAGCCAAAAGTTTTAAGAGCATGCTCTTGATATCTTAGGATTTGTTTATGTCAGGATTGAAACGGTTTTGGCAGTTTTGTGCCCACTGGTTGTCTGTCAGGGTCCTTCTTCTTAATAGTGCAGCTGAGTACTGTTGCTTCTTTCATTCATCTCATATGGACATTGACTCATTCTCATGTGCATGTTGCATTCCTCTTGGGCTCCGTTTTGCAGAGGTGTGTCAATTGCTGGATACATTTCCACTGCAGAACAAATATGAATTATCAATAGACAATGTTCCTCTACTCCAACAAGGTGACTTCATTGAATAATGCAATTAGCACCTTATTATATTCATGTTTGTATTTCCAAGGGAAATGTAGTTGATGATGCTCATGTGATATTGTTGCAGTTAAATTGCAAGGAATGTTATGGATAACTCATACAAATTTGTACTATTTCAGAAAACGGTTCAGTTTCAACAATATTATATTTCCTTTCTTTAAGACATTGTTCAGCCTTCTCACAGTTCCAGCTTCTTTATTTGAAAAGTGATCACCCAACAGCACATACTGCACAGAGACTAACAGTTGTGCTTGAGTTAGTGATTTAGTCCTGGTCTGCGCAGGACGTTTGTAATGCCAACCTTTAGTTCTTGTTGAGCATTATTCTGATCTGTTTATGTGTGGTCTGGAAATGACAACAGGTGCAACAGACACTTTAACAGAATACAGTTACTATAGTAAATGGTGCTGCTTTTTACTCTAAACTGTTGTCCTTTACCCTGTCCTATGTGCACGCACACACACTCAAGGACTTTTTAATAGAGATTTATTCCTTATGGTGCCCACAGTCCTCCTGAGACCTGTGGTAAAATGTGACTTTAGAAAAGACCATCTTTGCAATGCTTTTGCCCTCATACGTGTAAACAGAGAGAAGGTTACACAGGAGATATGAGCTCATTTTGACATTTCATTTCACCATAACAAGTGTGATATATTTGTAAACCTTAACCCTCGCACACAACGCCCCGAGTGGAACTGTAATCAATTCTGTACTGTTAACCAAGACCCAAAAAAAGGATGAGTTTATTTCACGTTACATTTTTTGGACAGATACTGCAAGTGTAACATCCCTGCTCTTTATAGCTCATTTCAAAAGTGATCAGAATGACTCACACACAAAGTGTGTCTTGGGCTACACATGGTAACTGTTCTTCCTCCTAACACAAGTAATGCAAATGTATAACTCTACTTCCCAGACTGCATACTGTGACTGCATCATCACCATTAGCATTAAGTGGAGCTTTTCTTCAAAACTACCTAAAACAAGCAGCTTTTTATCTGCAATTTAACGCTTATTATTTAAACTGTTGGCAACATCTACAGATTATGTGGCTAATTCTGCTAGCCTATCCGCGTCTGCCTCTGTTACTTCTTATTAACTGGTTTTGGGTCACTATTAATAGAATGGACAGCTCAGTCACCACTCTCATGTGCAATGTACCATTGTTTATCATTGTAATGTCTATACTTTTTAATGTCACAATAGCCAAAATGATTTGAGGGGCTTATAAGAATGGCAACTATATACATGACCAATCCTCAGGTGCCTTACAATGTCATTCATAAAGGAGTTTATATAGATGTGTGTTTTGGCTGGTGCTGTGTGCAAGTTTATCATTAAAGTAATATAGTAAAATAAGGGCTGGATATGGGGCTGGGACAGACTGCTGCTTCAACACGGCACAAAACAGTTCAATTTTAGGAGATTCATTTTTACACAATGTCATAAAAATGGTTAAGACTTATTTTTAAGATCCCACACTATGCTAAATTAACTTTTTGAGTTTTTAATCTAAACAGACCTGTAATCCAGTTTGCAGTTAGATTCCTTCTGAACAGATAAAAGCACTTTTTCTTTTCTTTTTTTTTTTTTTTTTTTTTTTTACTTTTTTACAAGAGCAAATCTAAGCTAGGAGGGTGCAAAAAAATCCAGACATCTTCATTGGACTAATTTGTAATATTTCATTTCCGAACGTCTCGTCGTCACTGTCGTTAAGTGTCTGTTAACATCATGTTCATAGTAGAAGGTGGGGGTGTGCTTGTGAACTAAAAACAGAGATGCTGCAAAAAGGTGTTAATATATAATTCATTACTATTCTCTAAAACATTAAATACCCATTTAAAAGTATCCACATTTCTTGAAAAGGCTGAATTAAGCATATTGTGGGATTTTAAAGAGAGGCTGCAAAATCTGGTACAGTGAATAAAAATAATCCTGGCTTTGAATAGACTAGGTGTCATTCCCCTCCTCCACCATCATCTGCCTGATATCCCGACCAGCTAAATAGTGCAATAGTACTTCATCCAATATAAATATATATATAAATATAGAGACTCTCTCTCTTATTCACAGCTGATTACCTCACAGATAGTTAAATGCTTTAGTAAACATATAGGAATACATTACACAGCCTGTGCACTATGCAGCAGAACTCAAAGGGCTGCAGAAGCTGCAAGCCCCAGGTGCAGATCTCATTCATTGAGAGCAGTGAAAGCACACAGGAGCAAACGTGTCACTCTCATTTCACAGCTATACACATCACACACTCCAAATAAAAGAAGTTACTTTTTTAACCAGCGTCAACACTTCCGTTACTATACACACATGAAACCACATAACATCACATTGTAACATGGAAACCTCAGTGAAATCTGTTTGGGTGCTCAATCAATCTAGTTCATTCTTCGTAGTAAGCTCTGTTTTTGTTTTCTACAGACAATCAGCGACACACCAAAAACATGAGACGTACACACCACACAACTAGCACTCTCATACAGAGGCTGAATGCCAGATGGGATTGTTCCAAAACAGTTGCACTGCAAAGATGTCTTTCTATTGCTTGCTCTCTTTTCTTATAAATCATCAATGGGCTACAGGAGAAAGATTTTGACCACCATTTTCACCATGTTACAAAAACAATGCTTTCCCAGCAAAAAGTTAAATCAAACTCTTGATTATGCTTTGGCTCAGACTTAAACAAACCTGTATAATGGATGAATGCTGTCAGAAAGTATCGATGGGTGGCAGCTCCTTAAACACATACACCATTAATCATATAAACAAACAATATGACTTGCAGTCCACCATTTACTGCGTTGTAGTAAAAGAAAAAAAACAAAAACAAAAAACTAATTTTGTCATTTTACATAAAAAGCTGCAATGGACCTGAGAAGCATATTGTGAGAATCTATTATAATAAGTCACCAAGCAACAAATGACACCCTGGCATTCATGAGTTTGTTTACTTTTTGCAAATAAAAGCAGTGACTTGATACATATTCCGGTGCTGCTGATATTTGATCAGTCCCATCATTGCTCCTGTGATATCGTCACTGGTTGGACTGGTTTGTGAGAGGAGAGAGCATTCACAGTCTGTTTGCTTTTTGGTGAAGCACTGTCTTGTGTTGTGGCTGTGGGTAGAGATTACAAAGGGCCTCTTACTGGTTTTGGAAAGTGATTTAAAAATATTTGATAGCCTAATAAGGTTTGTGGTTAGCTTAAAATATTTTGAAATGTTAGATATAAATAAAGAGGATAAATATAATGCCAAATATTCAGTATTTGTACAGAAATATACATATATAAATATATAATATATGCCTAATTTAAATTAAACTATTTTCCGCTGTTGACCAATGTCAATTTTTGTCAACATTATTTTAAAAGACCTTCAGATAGCATGCAGGATAGTGAACTGAATGTATTATTTAGTGTTTTATGGCTGTTCAATAATACAGCATCTACAGATCTGTTTGAGTACCTTTAATTTAAGATAATTTCATTTTCAGATTTTAACAGAATTGTAAACTTTCTTTTCTAAATGCAAGATTAAGAGATTGTTTTGACACATTCAGACATTTGTTTAATTTACTGCTTTTGAGTGTGGTTTGTTAAATTTGCCTCTTCTGCGATATATCCCATAAAGTGTAAATAATTATGCAAATTAAACTTTTTCAAGATAACAACTTGGGTTTCTAAGAGTGTGTAGTTTGTTTGTTTTTTACGTAGGTGAGTGTGTGCACTCACCTTGACTGCTATAGGCGTGGAAGTACATCCATAGGAATAAAAGTACATCCATGGGAATAAAAGTACATCCATGGTCGTGCTGTGCAGGCACTCAATACTTCAACGGGGGGAAAAAAGTTGAACATGAACTTTCATTGAAAGAAACATATTATCTCAAACTGAATAAGGTGTTACTCTGGTTAAATGTCCCTCACCTGTAATGCTCGTTTTTGATGCGAGCGGAGTAATTTCCTATTTTTGGAGAATTAGCCTGATGCTAGCCAAACAGAAATGTAAACCAATGTTTGCGTAAGTAAATTATCTTTTAATATTAAAGCTAAATACGAATATCTTACAGAATTATGTTAAGAAAATAGCTAAACTTACATTTATTAGTCAAACTTCAATTACTAGTACTTAATTGACTCTTTGTTACTGCTCCACGGCTAATCTAAAGAACGAGCTAAACTACTTCTATGGGCCCAACCTAAACGGAGCGGAGTGATATTTGGGCAAAACCGAATCACCTTTATCTCATAAACCTTATATCTCATAAATATTGTTGCAGCGACCATAAACTGCACAAAATTTATCATTTTGGCGCAGAGTGAGCGGAGGTAAACGGGGTCTTTACTTTCCTGGTCCCATCCACTTTTGGTGACGTCGACGTGACGTCATCTGAACCCAGCAATGCAAAATGCAACACAATAGATAAATACATACTGTACATAAGAGATGGAAGAAAGATTTTTGAAAAGGGGCTTACATTATGATTACCAGAGAATTCCACAAAATCTGCTATTTAATAAAAGTGAAAAGATTCACAGTGGGAACAGTGGGAAGAGCAACCAAACTTTCACTCAAGTAAGAGCACAAATATATTAGGCTACTGAAGCATGGTGTCTGAAAGCTAAGAACAATTCAATCATAAGAACTTACTCACTTGTCAGCTGCTTGATGCTACACCTCTGATGATTAGGATGATTAGACTGGATCTATTCCTTGATTTATTTTTCCAATAGGCCTACATGTTCCAGTCACAAAAAGCACACACATTTGTAGTTAAAGAAGTGGTCTTTATTACAGCAAAGAAGCCAAACATTACAGATAATAATATGAGGTTTTTATAGATCATTTCTGGGCTCTCAAGCAGACACCTTCACCAGTGACTTTTTGAGGCTTCAGGTTTGACGATGGTACAGTCAGAGGGGATCTTAACATGTTCATTCACTGCTCTTTGCATGCTGTCGACTTGATCAGGGCTCAATGCAACTCAGTAGTAAGTCTTTGTAAGTGTGTAGTGAAGGCGTCTGACAGTCTTATGGTCAGACTACAAATCTGGAGAACAAAAAAGTCAGCAAAATAAAGAATTTGTCTAAACAATAACTTTTTGAATATTCCTGGAGTACAATCTTTGACCTTTGTATCTACAGCAGAACTGATGATCTGCCAACCATCAGCCCTATCTTTCCAATAGAGCCTTTACGATAGTCTTATTTACATTAATATCCCTTTTAACAGATGACCGCAGGCCCATTTTATTATTGTATTTTATTTACAATATTTTTTTTTTATTCAAACATTTTTGTTCACAACAGAAGCACATACTGTGTCATGTAAGCTTGTGCACTAAAGATGTGGATTGGGGCTTTCTGGTGAAGAAAAACATGAAACTTGAAAATTCTATTCAAACGGTGAAGGTGGACAAGAACACTCTCAAGCGGCACCCTGGTAGCAATGCAGTTCAAATGCTTGCATCAACAAATAATTAGGCACAATAAACTTGTTGGTTTCACAGTCCCGCTAGCTTCACCCACTGAGCACGTTTGGGGAAATGCTAAGCAGGAAATGACGATCAAAAGCTTTCCCCAACATTACGAGGGGCAGGTGCTTTGATCCAACATACGTGCACAGAAATGCACTGATTGAGACTGTCTGAGGCAACTACTCACCACAAACAGCAATGGCATTTTATACAAAGAAAACCACAATAACATCACATTGATTCAATAAGGGAAAACAAGACAATACTACTGAAGTCCACCTAAATACTGAAAATCTATGTCTAATGCTTTAATATACAGCTTTGATGGCAAGGCTCTTTTCTCAAACCTAGCTGGTGTTGCCTTTTAGTACACTTTTCTGGACCAAGGGGACACCGGTGCTAGTAAGAGTAAACATGACATTAAAAAAAAAGATTGTTCTTAAAAGCAATGCAGGTAAACAATAAATACAAACAATGTGCTTTAACTGTATAGACATATTTACACAAGTCTTTGGCATATGAATAAACATCAGCTACAAATGAAAATTCAACAAAAAGAGAAAAGTGTTGGCCGCCAGTGCACAAAACAACAGAGGCCTGGGACACTTCCAATTCAGTTCAACACAGAAATGGGAAAAAAAAAAAAAACACTCCTAGCTTCCCAGAATTTCAGTCAAAACGTCAACAAACCAAATCTCTTTTAATCAAGATTGACTACAGGTTTTAAAAGTACCATTTTTGAATTGGAGGAATTGAAAGTGCGTTGGGCCCAGCCCTAAAATAAACATGATTAAGCAAATATCACATATGGTATACATAATTCAAATTGCTCTAACCAGTAGACTGTTCATTGATGCTATTCAAATAAAAACATAGGCTAGGTCAAAAAGGCGGTAATTTCTCTTTTAAAATGTACAATTTGTAAATATTTGTTCTACATTTAGTCACTTCATGAATTCAGAAACTATAACAAATGACTGATCATATAATGTAAACTTCTTTTACTTTACTGTCAGTCTTTACAGTACATTACTGTATAAAACCAATCAAATGGATGGGTTTAGAGAGGCTGTTGACCTGTGATATATTCTTCAATGAAATGTTACAAAAATAAAAGTTACACAATGGATGGCAGATAGAAAAAAATATGACTATTCAAATCACAAAGTTATATAAGATTGTACTCAAAACAAAGTACAAACTGCAAATACCGACAAGAAGCAATGCCCTCGCTCTCATGATGTGGGAATCTAACTCGCAGTCCAGATGCTCCTCGTGGCCAAGAGCGACATCTACAGTCCAAACTGGGGATTGCAACTCAAAGTCTACAGTTGTGGAGAAAGAGGCTCCAGAACAAACAGGGACCCTCTGTGACTGGAAACATCTGTACAATAATAAGTATATCCTCTTCTCCCTTGTCTGGCATGCGTCAAGTCCATGTCCAAGCATTTCCCTTTAAATGAATGTGCCATTTGTAGAGGTGCAAAAGTTCCACTCTTTAGGCTACAGAATGGCTGCTGACAAGGGGAGCTGGGACCAAACACAAACAAGGTGTAAAGATGTTCCTCTCTCTCCTCTGTCTCATCTGCTCTTACGAAGACGACTCGATGAACTCAAGCGCCAGGTCGTAGCAGAAGCGATACTGCTCCTGTCAACGCACAAACATTTAACACGCTAATACAAAATCAAAATCAAAACTGAACTAAATTAATTAATGTATGAAATGAATGTCCTGTTTTCATATACAATTTTATTCCAATTGATTGAATATTGATTTCATCTTTTACTTTTAGTCACATAACTATATGAAGATCCTTAAATTTTACACAGTATGGCATTATTTTTATATCTCCATGGAGACGAGCAGGCAACGTTACAGGTCAGCTCTGTGAAGAATTGATAAATTTCAAGGTATGTTTGAGCAATGAAAATGCCAAATACATTTCATGCTGTGGACCATTCCAGGCAACCAAGAGCATCGTCATGGAGACAAGCAGGTGGAGGAAATTTACACAGTGCACCTTTAATCTATCACAAGCAAGAGTTTATATTTTGTGGATAAGCACTGGACTGAATCGTGTGCATTTACCAAAAAATACATTTACAAATTACACAACTACATTAAAAATAACTGAGCTAACTGATGTAACATTTCAGCGTCTTCTAAATATAAAGTGAAAAAGTAAGTTATGTTGTGCGGTGATGAACTGACCGGAGTGTCCACCATGTTGGGCTTGCTGTTTCTCAAGGTCTTGACGGCGTGGAACACATCGACCACGCTCTGTCTCTTGGCCATTTCACACACGATGCTGCAGGCACAGAAAACTCCACTCCGCCCACCGCCATTTCTGCAAACACAATCACGAGAGAACATCGTCAACACTGAGCCGCGCTGACTGACATATGAGTCACTGTGATGTTGATCCTTTCATCATAGAATCCAATTATATGATACTACTAAAGGGTATAATAAAGCACACAGCATAAGTGGGCTCATTTTCTCTGGAAATTACTGAACTGCATATACACTACTTTTTTCTTTTTTTTTTTCACTGGTCTCATGGTTTGGGAGGATCTCTGCTAAAAACAAGAACTCCCTGAATCAGTTGGTTAAATGTGTAAGTAAAGTGTCCATCCTCAGAGCCGCCTGGACTCCCTGTAGTTACAGCGGATGTCCCAGAGTATTCTAAAAGTCGTGCAACATCCACTAAACTCAAGAGTTTCAGCTGCTTTCTTCTGGTCAGAGGCTTTTAGTCCCAAGATATAGAGCGAATCATTATAAAAGGAGCTTCATTCCATCTGCTGTTGTACTTATGAATTAACTGTAATCTATTTATTTATCGATTTTAGTGTCTTGGATGTGTTGGAAAATTGTGTTCTTTATATATTACATATTTACTGTGATTTTTAGCCAAGCATGATGAATAATTGGTCACATTTTTCCACAGCGCTTTTCCACCTTCAAGGCACTCAAGGCACTTTACAACAAGGAACCACTCACCCATTCACACACATATTGATACACCAGTGTACGCAGACAATGGGGGCAAGGTGGGTTAAGTGTCTTGCCCAAGGACACAATGACAGCATTCATCTGTGGGAGCTGGAATTACCAACCTTCAGCTCAGTGGACAAACGCTCTACCAACTGACCTACTGATGCCCCAGTTAAAAACATTTAATTCTTTATGGAACAAAACCATTCTGCACTGGAGCACTCTAACACTTTATTTGTAAAGGTGTATTTGTATGTTTATTGTGTATAGTGTGGATGAATAAAATGTGAAATGTGGGACCTGCCTCTCAAATCTGCAAAACAAATTTACCTACGAGTACGAATAAAGCAACCAAATCTAACCTAAGACACTTATTTTTTTCAATAGATGCTATGTAATTTTTTGGGTTTAATGGGTTTTATATATATTTGATTTATATACTGAGTGGCAGGGTTGTCAATAGTATGGAAAATCAGATACAAACTGATACTAAAACTAGTATCAAAACTAGACTTAAGCAGGTATTGATACTTAGAAAGTCACATTCACAAGACAGACCTTTCCTGATTAGTTTTAGAATGATCTTCAGTTGTATCTGAACAAGTATAAGAGCACAGACTAGTATACACTCATGGACCATATGGAACCTACCTGGACGACTGATGGATTACACAGACATGAGGACAGATGGAAATATAAAGATAGTACTACAATTTCATGTTTAAAAAGACATTCTGTTGTCTAAATAAAGAGTGTTTTTTATCATCACTGTGGTATCTGAATTGGAATCGGGTCTCTTCCTTAGTATAGAAGTAGAAATAGAGAAAGAGTTTTAAATTTTAGTATCGTGACAAAAGTACTGAGTGTCCATAAGTGCAATGTGAACAGAAATTGACCAAACAAAAACACCATTGGCAACTTGGCTTGTAGAGATAAAAAGTTGCAAATGCAGATATTTCAGTGCCAAAATACTTATGATGCACTTCTTCAACGCTTAGTTGCTCGTGACCCTCTGGCAAGATTCTCAGTATAGAATCTCAGTATAGAAAAATGAACACAATTCAATTCAAAGCAGTGAAAAAAAAACTGCACTCACAGGCAGTGTACTATGGTCCTCCCCTCTCCCTCCTCTCCCTCGCGCTGCCACTGGTCCACCTGCAGAATCAACTTGAGGAAAGAGCGCTTGGAAGCGGGCACTTCTCTATGCCCCGCCCACCCCAGATACTGGAACTGACGGACCATCAGATAACCTTCCTGAGGCTAAGAATGCAAAAATACAGAATGGAACATAATGAACTGTCAGCATCTTGCCAGTTTCTAAAGGTTGAGTTTAAAAATAGCTGTACTTACCCTGGTGAGGTTGCAAACTCTAAAGAGCCGGCTAATAACGTCACAGTCCATAGAGCAGGACATACATTCTACCTGGACGGGCCCGTATCGCAGCATGCCCTCCTCTGGCCAGTACTGAGGACAGCCCTGTGAACAAATACTCTCAGTTAGTACAAGCTGAAATGTATTTTAAGTATCATACTGTATTGTATTTTTACCTGGGCCAAGTCAATCTCATTCAACATCACAAGACTGGTGCATCCATAATCGTATACGAGACGCCAGAAGTCTTTGACAGTGTTGGGCAAAGGATGCTGGGTCACGATGAAGGCTGCGGGTTGTCTGTAACTCTGCGAAAACCAAACAAAACAAAAACATAATTACAATTTTCCAAGCAGAGAAAGCAAATTGTGATTTCTGTCCATTTGTCATTCTTTTTTTTTTTTGTAATTCCCATTCTCACACATACATCGACAGCGTGGTGGGGAGTACAGGGCAGTACATGATCATGCAGTGAGACTTTAGGAACATGCGTCACCATGACAGATACAATGGGCGTATGAACATGTGGAGAGCTGCACAGTAACTCTGGTGTATAGTCAGTTTATACGACAAACCTCGTTCACAATCTATGAATAAAATTGTAGTTTGGGTTAGTTCCTCTTACTGTGAAGCTCTACACCACAGACACAGGGTCAGTGGGCACGGGCCGCTCAGCTTTACGTTCAGGTGACTGCGACGGGAGCTCTGATGCTGTACAGTTCAGATCAGCCCTCCCTTAGAAACACTGAACAGAAAGCTGGTCTCTAAATGAGAAGGGGCAGCCAGATGGGAGTGGAGTGTGGGGGTCATTGGTGGGGGTCATTGGGTCAGAGCTGAGGTCTAAGCTACAGAGGTACAGAGGGGAGGACTTTTGTACAAATGAACCTGGAAGCATAAAACACTGAAGCCATGAAACAAATCCAGTATTGGAAATTCGATGTGAAATCCCATTACCTGGAACTCTTCTGACAGCTTGTTTAGAGAGAGGCCAAAAGTGAGTTTAACTAAGCCTTAGAAAGATACTGCTCAAACGGGAAAAACCCCTTACATTCTCATCTTGCTCTCTAACAAGTTTTGGAGATTAAAAATGAAGTTTAAAGTATTTTACAACATGCATTGCATTAGTTAATGAGACCATAAGAAAGATCTAGAGCCCCCCCTCACACTGACACCTTACCTTTTCATAAATTTTTTGAGTCAGTGACACACGGGCAACACACTGAATGCCTCATGTTGCCGGGTAAAAAACAAAAAAAGACGCGTTTGGTGGCCAGAGAAGCTAGCGGTCTTTTCAGAAGCTGGATTTGTCTCTAGCCTTCTGCTTGAACCACAAACACAGCATCACACAAACAGGGAGGGGAGTCCATGTGGAGTGTGAGTGCGTGTTGTTTGTACCGTCTAAACATGTAGTCTCTTTTACATCTGAGTAATCCGTAATGTATTTTAAAACATGTCATGTACCCTATGTTAACAGCAACATGCTTTTGTAAGAAGGTATGGTCCTCTTTTGTCTCTCCACTCTCCACATCTTTTTTCTGAATGTACTGAAAATAAGCCCTGCTCTGTAGCCGAGTATGACTTACATCCATCAGAGCGGCATTGATGTAGTTGCTGCTCTCTCCGTCTATAGTAATCAGGAAAGGCAGGCATCGGTCTGGAGGGAGGCCATCCATAAACCGGTTTTTGTCTTGGTTTCTAGGCAACAAAGCGATGCTGCAGTCTTCAGGCTGTGGCTGCGGAGTCACCGAGTTTAAGGTCTGCAAGATCAAAGTTTTATTAGCATGATATCATGAAGTAATATAATATGACACAATGCAGTGATTTTGTAACTAGATTAATGATGAGGAATGTCTACAGAGCAAAAACACTACAGTAGTAAGTTTTATTATGTCACCTTGTTTTTTTCTTGATTAAGCTTGTGTACCAGACTTTAAGTGCATATGACAGGTTAACATAGTTAACATGACTATATTCAAGATTTTACAAAAAAATCCTAGTGATATGATATGATATGATATGCAGAGGGAGTTATAATTTAATTAATAAATAAATAAATTACACCTTTATTTTGTTAAATCAATGTTTAAACTGTCCTTCTATGCGCATTGTCCTTGTATTTTGGATGAAATTTTCAGTGTTGACACAGGAATTCTGCCATAAAACTCATTGGTACTTGCTAAATTTCTTCACAAATTTATGTTATATCCAAAAACGCTACAGTAGTAAGTTTTATTGTGTCACCTTGTTTTCTCTTGATTAAGCTTGTGTACCAAAATTTAAGTGCATATGACAGGTTAGACATTTCTCTAAAACACAGTTAACGTGATTATATTTTACAAAAAAAATCCTAGTGAGGTTTATAATTCTATTTCCTGGCTGGACATGGATATGACACATGCAGAGGCAGTTATGATTTAATAAATAAATTTCACCTTCATTTTGTTAAATCAATATTTAAACTTTCCTTCCTTGTGCATTATCCTTGTATTTTGGATGAAATTTTCGGTGTTGACACAGTAATTCTGTTGTAAAACTCATTGCTACTTGCTAAATTTCTTCACAAATTGATGTTACATACCAAAAACGCTACAGTAGTAAGTTTTATCGTGTCACCTTGTAGTGAGGTTTATAATTCTATTTCCTGGTTGGACATGGGCAGCAGATATGACATGTGCAGAGGTAGTTATGATTTAATAAATACATAAATAATTAAATGACACCTTTATTTTGTTAAATCAAAGTTTAAACTGTTCCTCCTTGTGTGTTGTCCTTGTATTTTGGATGAAATTTTCGGTGTTGACACAGGAATTCTGTCATAAAACTCATCGCTACTTGCTAAATTTCTTCACAAATTGATGTAGAACTATGATGAATATTCACCTCAGGCACCATCAAACCAAACGAAGTAACAATTAAAAAGATATATTAAAGTAAATGGCTAAGTTAGAGCCTTTCTGTGAGCTTTACCTGAAACTCGTCCTTCAGATGTGAGGAGTTGGTTTGGGAGTCGATGCGGATGAGCTCATAAAACGCTGCTTTGAACTCGCACACAGGGATGGCCGTCTCTCCGCACAGACAGGCCTCTAGTATGGCATCGTGGATGAAAATGTACTGCTCCTGAACACAGTCAAACACACTGGATTGTATCATAAGGAAAAACACACAGAGTATATTGAATCTTAAAGAGAAAGAACTGCTCGAGGTGTTTCACTGATTACACGGGTGTGATCGTGACAAAACACAAACGCCGTGAGTGGAGGATGGAGGGTGAGATGGAGTCATGACTGGCATCAGACATTCACATACAGTCTCGTGACTTTAGTACATATACAAAGCTGTAACCTGGGTTTTCTACACTTTAAAAAAAATGAAAAATGTGGGGGAAAAAAAAGAAAAGTATATAATAAATAAATAAAAATAAATATTAAAAATTAAAAAACAAAAACAGATAAAAACTACAGTTATTAAAGTTTTAACACTACTAAACCAACCCTGATAAACGATGCAAAATAAAAATCTCTATCTATATTATCTCTGTTCCAGGTGTGTCAAACTCAAATTCACAGAGGGCTCAAATTAAAAACTAGAACTAAGTCGTGGACCAAACTAAATATTTAAAAATTTCAGAAACATCTGCATGTTTTCTCTTCTTTAGAGATACGTAATGTTAAACCTTTTCTTATTAAAATAAATGTTTAATAATAATAATACTATTATAATAAATAAATAATAAATGTACAAATTGTGCTATGCAAATAAACTTGCCTTGCGTCATTTTTACAAAATTTCTGCCTGTTTGATACTTCATGCACTTTTAGTCCCTGAGCAATACTGTCCTCTGGTGGTAAAACACACAAACTACAGCAGGTTTTCCACATTTCTGACGACACGGCCAGCACCCGCACCATGCCATGAGTGAAGTGACATCACCAGTGCGTTCCTTCATTAAACACTTAGTAAACACTTGGATGTGGATGAAGATGGAGGATGGGTAATGCAGTCACCTCAGTCTGTACCATGTTGATCCTCCGAGAGCGCAAGGCTTTGACACAGTTGTAGATGTCCACCACTCCTTCTCTCTCCGCCATGTCCAGCATTATGTCGATGACGATGAAGCAGCCTGTACGCCCCGCCCCAGCACTGGAAAATAATTAAAAACTAACTTAAACGAGGTGATCCAAAAACATTTTCACAGTACTTTATATGTAAGAAGTGTCTCATACCTGCAGTGAACAACAATAGGCCCAGCAGAGGGAGGGTTAGACATCTTGACTCTGCGGATGAAGGAAAGTAGTCCCGTGGCGTGGTATGGGACGCCATGATCAGGCCAGCCGGTGAAGTGGAACTGCTTGACTTCACGTACCTCGTTGAAACCACGCTAGAAAAATTAAAGGACAAATTTAACACAACACTGTATATGAAACTAGGCAGATCAAATATAGTATACGGAGTTGATGTTTGAGTATCGTATTTTTCAGACTGTAAGTCACACTTTTTTCATGGTTTGGGTGGTCCTGGACTTATACTCCGATGCGACTTACATATTAAAATTTTCACACTGACAGCCTCGAGAGGGCGCTCTAGGCTTGTGTGTCAGTATCTGCTGCTACTATTCTGTGCCACTGTCACTTCTCGCTTTACTGCGCATGTCTCCTGCCGAAAGAGCCTCTGTCCTGTCTGTATCATGTCAGTTGATCGCACCATTACCACAGAAAATTTTAAATTTTAACAAATTTATAAAGACAACTGACAAGACTGAACACAAATTCCCCAAAAAGAAAATCATTTTTTGCAGATTACAAGCTGTAACTAGCGAAATATGCAGCCGAAAATGGTAATCGAGTAACAGAAAGAAAGTCTGGAGTGAGCAAGAAACTTGTGACAACTGCAAATGTGCATCATGCAACTTTCTTGGAAGTCACTGGATGGATCGACAAAGGCTGGACTTCAGTGACAACCAAAACCATCCTGTCGGGATTCAGAAAGTCTGGAATAATTCTAACTGGGACTGATGCTCAGTCTGACGATAGCTACGCACAAGAGGAAGCGGCGCTCCGATTACCTCTGGAGGTCGCAGAATTGCTCAGAAGTGACACTGAGGATGAAGAATTCAATGGATTTAGTGATTTGGAGTGAGATGGAGAGTTTGGTAAACATGCTCTGGTCTGTTGTTTATGATATAGTTTATCTGAAGAACTGTTCATATGTGACGTTAACAGTTTGTTGTTCTCTGTTCTATTGTCATTACAATAACTTAAGATGAAGATGAAATGTTGGTTCCTGGTCTCTTTATAAAATAATTTTCCCCCAAAAAGTGCGACTTATATATGTTTTTTCTTATTATTACGCATTTTTTGGCTGGTGCGTCTTATACTCCGGAGCAACTTATAGGCCGAAAAATACAGTATTTTTTCCTACTTTCTTACCCTCTCCAGAGTAAATGTACGAACAACGTATTCAGCAAGAGGCTCGACTTCCACAAATGTCACTTTGAAATCCCCATAGACCTCTGCGTCATCTGGCCAGTACTTGTAGCACTTAACCTGCATATAATAAAAGCATACGTAAGCAAACAGGATGAAAAGATATATTAATCTATTATAGAGAAGTTAAAAAAAACCTCATACCCTGCCAACCTCCACCAGATTGGTTACCATGACGATGCAGGCAGACTGTTCTTGCCACACCATCCTCCAGAAGTCATAAACTGTCTCATGAACTGGACCTGTATGAAAAATGCATCGGTTAGTCAAGATATTATTTGAATATATTAATACTAAAGGTGCCTTTTTGTTCGCTTACCCTGAGTGGCAATATAGTGGCTTGGTCTCTGATAACCCTGAAACACAATAAGAAAAATTATGAAGCGACCATCCATATCAAAAAATGCTAATTTGCGATGCTTTTGTGACATTTAATTCAGTAAAAAAGAAAAATTAAAAAAAAGGTAGTTTAAAAGAGCATTATAAAACTTTTCTGTGTGTGTCCGCCACTAGGGAGATGTTATTGCTTTGCCTGAAATGTTCCACTGTATGGTATTAACTTGACCTGATGGTTTCTCGTGCATCTCTATTGAGATAAGTTTAATGCAATACTGTGGAACATTACAGGCAAAGCAATAACATCTCCACAGAGAACCAGAAAAGATTTGGGTCCTATTTCAAGTTGATATGAGAGGAAAATTAAAATTCAGGGAACTGTGGACTTTTAAAATACAAAAAAATTGAAAAAAAAGAAAAAAAAAGAATTGAAAAAAGGTTAAAATTTAAGAGTCAATATTACACATATTTCTTCTTATAATACTGTTTCCTCTTCACAAGCATACCTAGAGTTGTGTTTTGTTTTATTCACACGTTTAACACACAAACCCTGCAGATTTAGTTCTTCTCTCAAACAGAAAACTCTGCTCCACCTTGTGATGTCATGTGGTAATACAGGAAGCGATCCACTGGGTTTTTAACTTTCATAATAAAGGGCAATTTAAATTAATTAGACAAACATTTCTAGTGTTAACATACTAATTCTTGACAAAAAAATAAGCTTTAATTTCATCTCTTTGGTATAATTTAATTAGCCAGGCTGGTGCCACCTAGTGCCTCCGCTCAATTTCATTTCTCTCCAGCGACTAGGTCAGGAATCGGAATACACTTGACGATTTGCAAGAACCCTGGAAGTGCGAGTCCAGGCATCAGCCAATCAGCGAAGAGCTGTACATTCTGGGTTGGCAACGATTCCCGAGATTGAGGATTTAAAGCCGGAACAACGAGAATGTTTGGTGAATTTCATCAAGGGGAAAAACGTTATTGTCTTTCTTCCTACGGGATTTGGAAAAAGCTTAATTTACCAGCAATTGGTTGAATAAAAAAGTACCTGCCTACTGTCGAGCAAACAAATTCTAACGCTGTGAGGTCTGACAGTTTCTATGAAGTGAAACCAGCTGATGAATTGCTGATATAATTTGATGGTATAATAATAAATAAATTTCAATATTCAAGTCACATAGTTTAACTCTGTGTATGTGTAGTGTCTTATGGCTGTAGCCCAAAAGAAATAAGCTGTTTATTCCATGCAGCAGAGGCCTCAGCAGTGACAGACAGACGGACAGATAGATGGACAGGTGTATGGGAGGGATGTAGTGCCGCGGTGCGTTCAAGGGCGTGGGTGAAAAGAGTGATACTTACATCCCTGTACAGCCAAATCTACAGGCCAAGGCACAGGCAGAAAGAAGGAGGAGGAGTGGAGGAAAGAAAGCACAACAATGTCAGTGAGAGTCAATCAGAAAGGGAAAAAAAAGTTGTATTGATAAAATGGAAGTTTAAACTACACATGCAAAAGTAAAGTGGCTTGAAATTAGATAAAGCAGACTGGACACTTTTTGAGGTTTTCTTTTATCTGTTGTTATGGATGTGAGAGATCCAACAGTTCCTTTATTTATTGAGAATAATACCTGAGGAAGTTGTAAGATTATAATGGAGCTCAACAGTTGACTATGAAATCAATTCTGTTTCCAGAAGTTAATTTTCCATTTGTTTTTCCCACAGACTTTTAATCTATCCACAGTAACAGGTCCATAAAATGTCCAAAGAGCCAAAAAGCGCGTTTAAAAAGCTAAAAATCTGTGAAATACTTTAATAACTTAGCAGTTAATGCAGTTTCAGAAATAGATTTGACCTAAAATTATTATGTGGTCATTAGTTACCACAACCTGAGCAAACTTACAATTTTTAACTTTTTTTAGAAAGTCTGTGGGAAAATGAATGGGAATTTTACTTGCGGAACCAGTGGGTGGGCAGTCACTGTTGTGGTAATAAAACTTTTCAGAATGTTAAAAAATCTGATATTAAATTTGGACATAAACGTCAAGAAGTGTCCAGATGAAATGCTCTACTTCTAGCTTGAAATGTTTCCTGAAGCAAGCAACACATAAAGTGATGGTTAATGAAAAAAATAAAAATAAAAAATAAAAATAAAGCAGGGAAATAAGCAGAAAATATGAAAAAGCACAAAGTGAAACATGCAGATGGTTTGTGCCACGAAGATGTTCAGATGACGTGGAATGTGGATGAATACAACTAAACTTTACAATTTATATTTGGATATATATAAAATGTTCTTAACTTATGGGAAAAAAGAAAGCAATTCCAAGCAATTGAGAGTTCCTAGCCACAATTTAAAAAAAAAAACTATTTATTTCTTAGTATTATTGTTTAGTAATCTTGCTTGTCTATAAATCGAAGTTCAGAGTGTTAAATCCATGAATCTACTTTGCAGATCTAAAAGTGATGGTCAGCGCCTTGGCAGACAATTAAAAAAATACAAACCAAATTGTCGCATTAAATTGTTCCTATATTTAAATGTTAAAATGTGTCTAATCAATTACACAGTTATTTTTAATTGCTCAAAAGGCCGTCCAAGCTATAGCCTGAGTGCAAAATGTGACCCACCAACCAATTTTTGTTCTTTCTTCGCCAAGAGTATAAGAAGTAGCATTTTTACTATACATTTATAGTTCCCTTTCCCATCATAACCTCAAAATATAACATTCTGGTGTGAGGCAAACCTGACAAAGATGTGGTGGACACCTCTGGTCCAACATAAAAATAATGAAAACTGTTGAATGGATGAACCCAAGACAGATGTGTGGACACTTGTACAACATAAAAACATGAAAAACACCAAGCCGACAGCACTTAATGCACACGTATGTAGTGTCGATGCATTCCATGGTCTTTGATTGGTGGGATGGATGGATGACTACGTGACGCAATAAAGGTATAGAGGCCGGACATACGAGCGAGGGAGTGTGGTTTCTCTGGTTTCGTTGGGAGCCAATAGTAGCATTCGATGCGTTTCCACTTACATCGATGTAGTTGGCGTTGATGTAGTCGGAGGAAGGGTCATCTTCTATTGGCTGGAGGATAACCCTAGAGTGGTCATCTGAAATCACAGCGAAAACAGAGTGGGTTTAACAGGCCTGAGCAGATTTTTTTTTTTTAAGTTTAAAATGATCATTATTATTTTTGGGCCCAAATAAAAGTGACGTAATAAACTGAATTAAATTGAACTTTAAGTGAGCTTTAATCCATGTTAGAATGTTGTTACCTCATGAAAAACAGACATGGAGTTGTGTTTTGTTGTGTTTTACTAAACCATTTACATCTCCAAAGCTTAAAATGCTTTGTTCCACCTTGTGATGTCACGTAGTGGTAGTTTTCAATGTAACAGCTACCTTTTACCTTTAGGTCTGTAAAGATAGGCAATTCCAGGTCTGAAAACATCTACATCAGACATGTCAAACTCAGGCACGGGGGCCAAATTTGGTCCGTGATATAATTATATTTGGCACATGAGATCATATCAAACACGTATTAGAGTTGACCCGCCGGCTATAGAGACATTATTTATTTAAAATGTTATTATTTTATATTATGCTCATTCTAGATTCAATATTTAAGGAAAACTATTATTAAACATTTATTTTAACAAGATTTAGCATAGGTTTAAGATTACATATCTCGAAAGAAGAGAAAACATGCAGATGTTGAAGTTTTTCAATAAATATTTAGTTTGGCCCACGACTTAGTCCCAGTTTTTAATTTTGGCCCTGTGTGAATTTGAGTTTAACACCCCTGATCTAAATGATTCCAGTGAAGGTGTACCAAGTTTAAAACTAAAATGGAACAGAGTATTTTCTATTTTCTATTTCAGAGAAAAACTTCACCTATATGCAAGGTTTGTCCAGATATGTTTTTCATGAGGAAACATCAGATCAGAAAATAGTGTAATATGGGCCCTTCAATGATGCAGCCTTAATATTATTTACACAACAACAACAGCTAGTAATTGTAAAACTGTCTTGAGGATGTTGCAGTGACACTTACAGGCTATGATGTTGCCGTAACGATTCTTGGTGCGGTTTTGCTCCTTCTTGGCCACATCCCAGGTGGCGGACTGGCCCTCAAAGAAACTCTGCATCACCAACAGTAGAGGGAAATGACAAAATTATGATTACAGGGCAAAGCTGAGACAATAAAAGTTGACGACCGCGAGAAGTGCTGGAGCTGTAACACTGTGATGGTTAATAAGGTGGAACATGGCACATTTTATTAAGGGCACTTTGAGGCACTGAAATCTTTAGCGTATATTAGCACAAGTAATTCAAGACTTTGACTGAGACATAACTGCCTTTGTGCCTGTATAGACTATTAAATCACTATAATTACATACATTCGAACGTTCATACTGGTGAGGCGGGTGAAATGTCTGGCTTCGGGACACAATGTCTGCTAAACATGAATTTATTTTAGATATGCTGCATGAAAATACTGTTAAGTCAATATATATCTTAATACTGCCTCCTGTTCCCTTATGAGATAATGCCAAATAAAAAAAAAAAAAAAAAGTACAGCAACTTAACAGTCAATAATAACAATAATTTCCTCTTACCAAATAAAAAGAAAATTGACATTATTATTATTATATTATTATTATTGACTTAAACTGATGCATTATTATTATTATTATTATTATTATTATTATTATTATTATTATTTTATTATTATTATTATTATTATTATATTTTTATTACATTCAACTGTTTATCCATAACCATAATTATTACATGGCAAACCTTAACCTAAACTCCTTTGCATAAATTAACTTTAAACTATATTTTGTATTACGATATTATTATGGTCTTTAGTAAACTTTTTTATATAAGTTCAGTTAATAAAAAAATTTAAATAAAAAATAAATAAATAAATAAATACGATTAATTACTACAGAGTCAAAATAAAACATAAGGACAAAACAAAGACCAATCCGTGTTCACTTAATTAGGAAAATCATGAAAATTTTACTTCAAAAACTGTACATTTCACTAAAATGGAGAGTTGTGTGTTGTAGCGATACATTTTCTTGCAATATCGATATTCCTCGTGCAGCCCTAACACACACACACACTCACTCACAGCTATAGTACTGTTCCTACCTCATACTCCTCCTTGAAGCCGTAGCTGTCGGAGGTCTTCATGAGGTTGATGTGCTGCAGCAGGTCGGCCACCCTGATGGCGGGGTGCAGCTGACCCGTCTGATAGGGCGACTCGGTGCCCTCGCAGTGGTACCGCGGCACGTCCAGGAGCCGGCTGTTCTCCGCCGCCGAGCCTGTGTGGTTCTCATCTGGAAGGACAGCAGCACAATGTAGATGTAGTCATTCACTTATTCACTGGAACAGTCATTTAAAACAAAGCAAACATGTGCACTGAAATTTAAAGGTGAACTATGTAACTTTTCTGAGTCCATCATCTGCATATCTCCACATGGATATTGTTGCTTTTCTTGTAATGCTCCACAGTAAAGGATTAAACTTAACCATGAAGACAAGAAGACTAAGTAACACCACTAAGATTACAGTAAGAATGTTTGTTTTTCAGGAATTAATTCATGAAAAAAGTGCAGCAGATACATTTAATGCCACATTGTTGAACATTCTAGGCCACGGATCTCCAACCTTTTTTCCTTCAGTGATCTACCTTTACAAAACAAAAATTCTAGAGAGCTACAAATTTTAGTGGTCACAAGAAACTGAGCATATATAACAGCCATGATAAGCCTTAGATGGGGAACAGGTTAGATCTCTATAAAACATAAATACTTATCCATTTATTAGTGCACAAAGTTAGGCATCAAAATTATACATTTACAATTCAATTTTACTTGTTCAGCGCAGTATGTATAATTCAGAAATCCTTTGGCGAGCTACTTGGAAGGGGTTGGAGAGCTACTGGTTGGAAACTCCTGTTCTAGCCAAATAACATCTCCATGGAGACAAGTATAGGTGGCAGACCCCAGAAAAGTTACAAATTGTACATTTAATTTGTTGTCAGTTTGTTGATATGGTCCATACTCACCAGTTATTGGGACTACAAGTCAAAGCAGCAGAAAAGGAAGATAGCATAAAGGTTAGTGCAATTAGAGACTTAAGGAAAGAGTTAAACAAATAGATGAGTTATGAGTAAACGCATAAATGGACACTAAAAATGGAGTAGATCTAGAGCACAGGCTAGTTCACAGACGAGGCAAAAGGAGGCACCATGATTCATATGTTAATCACAAAATGTCAAAAACAGATGACGATGACCAATGACACATGTGAGAGGAGGTTCAGCTGAGGTGATATGAACAGCAGCTTGTGTTTGACAACAGTTATATCATACTTGAAGCTTCCGACACTAAATCTAAAAGGGGCATCGCAAAAAGTAATATCTTGATTATAAACTCACTTCGATAAAGACACTCAAATCCAATGATTCACCTAGTTATGACTTTCACCAGGTTATTACTTTAACATGCATGATGTCGTTTTTATAGTAATGTATTTTTCAAACTATAAGTTGCACTTTTTTCATGGTCTGGGTGTTCCTGTGACTTATACTCCGGTGCGATGAGTATGTTAAAATTTTCACACTGACAGCCATGAGAGGGCGCTCTAGGCTTGTGTATGTCTGTATCACTGTCATTTTTCACTCTACTGCGCATGTTGGCTGCAGAAGAAAGAGAAAGAGCCACTGTCCTGTCTGGTATCATGTCAGTTGATCGCATCATTACTTTTGTATTACTGACAATTTAAAATTTAAACAAACATAAAGACAACTGAAACCATCCTGTCGGGATTCAGAAAGGCTGGAATAATTCTAACTGGAACTGATGTTGAGTCTAACAACAGCTACACAGAAGAGGAGGTCGGAGGAGTTGCTCAGAAGTGACACAGAGGCTGAAGAATTCAATGGATTTAGTGATTTGGAGTGAGACGGAGAGTTTGGTAAAGTTGTTCTGTTGTTTATACTATAGTTATCTGAAGAACTGTTCATATGTGACATTAATAGTCTGTTGTTCTCTGTTCTATTGTTATTACTATAACTTGCCTTTCAACATGTAATGTTAATTGCTGGGCTCTGATTTTATCAAATAAATTTCCCCCAAAAAGTGCAACTTATAGTTTGGTGCAACTTATATATGTTTTTTAATTCTTCATTACACATTTTTTGGCTGGTGTGACTTATAATTCGAAAAATACAGTATTTTATGTTGTTAATAAAGCATTGTTCATCAATTGGTGAGCACAGGCTGAGAGATTCAACTGTTTATATCATTGTTTCCAAAGACTGGCTTGTGAACCTCAGGTGGGTCGCAAGATATTTTTTTGGGTTGCCTTGTCAGGATCTACATATAGGTCTGCAATATACAGTTCTACAGACTATTGAATTTTGAAAAGAAAAAGAAATGTCAAAATTTTCTGTTCAAAAGTCATGGATTATCAGAGGTCAAATTGGGTTGAAAATTGATACAATAACTAATTACTAACCACTTAATTTCAGCTCTATTAGTTAAGTGACAGCGGTTCTCCTGTCTAACCCCTGCTCTGCGGACATGTTAGCTCATTATGCACGGTTACCCTCGTCAGGCCAATTAACAGCAAAGATGACCCGACACTGAATCCAAATCCACTACTTCCTGAACCTCCTCGAAAGCGCTGTGACGTGATTGGCCGAGACAGAGTTTAGCTGCAGCCATCACTCCGTATTAGAAAGCACAGCGTAGTTAATTAGCATGGTTTGGTGGCACTGCGTAATGCCTTTAGGGTACGGGGGGAGCTTTGCATCACCACCGCACTGTCAACACTAGACTAAACTAAAGATAAACACATCCGGAGTTATGGAAATATCCGACTTGGCACCGCGTTCACGTTGCGCAGAGCCGTTCCACACGACAAACAAGCCCAAAGGAAAAAGATAGTAGCTACTAAAGCAGACTTCAAGCAAAAAAACAACGCCTCTCTGCCAAGTTCTTCAAGCTCTCAGATGTGCCCGTCATTTGGAAATCAGTGCGTCTGGTAATTCGCGAAGCCATTTTTTATTTATTTTTTTCTTCAAATTATCAGTCTCCTCTTAAGTGCTCTTCTTTTTTTTGGAAGAGAGGCTTAAAACAATGACAAGCTGTGGAGTAATGAGGCCTCAGAGGGAGTGTGATGGTAATTAATGTGAATATCAGTAGTGATCGGCTGAGAACATGAAACACGAGCGATGACATGAGATTGGCCAGTTTAGCTGAGTGTAGAGTGTAGCTGGGTGAGAAAATCTATGTTACTGCGCCAGAATAATTCAATATACAATTAAACAAATCACACTTCTTGCTACATGCTCTTGATTTTGTCATTAAAGCAAGTATATCTAAATTATTCTGCTGTATTTAAGGTATTTAATTTAATTTCTCAAGGTAAATTAGTGTATTTGAATCTATTACTTTGTGGTCTGGGCGTGCAGAGAATGATCAGTGCAAAGGCAATAATATTTTCCGAAGCATTTCTATATCTAAAATATATTTCCAACATTTTGGTCTGGCTTGTTTTCACTACTGGACCACTTTAACCGTCAAAAAAAAAAAAAAAAAAAAAAAACATCAAAAAGAAAACTAGTTCTTTTTAAATGGTTTGCAGCGGTCTAAACTTACTTCCTCAATTACTTCATGCATTCTGAGCATCCGAATTATTCGCTGCAATGAATAGTTTATAAACTTTCAGAGAGCAGAGATAGAGTTTTGCTGTCATGGTTAGGTGTGTGCAAAAATATTGAAATATTGATATATCGTATTGTTTAATGTAATGATACAGTGTCGATATCATGGGCTGCTGTATCGATACACTGCCAAGAGTATTTTTTGGTATATTTTACTGAATTATTTTGTTACAGAGCTACAGTTTTGTTGCTTGTTGAGGAAGGAAACTCATTTATGTGATTGTTTTAAGGATTAAAATGTTTGTGTTTAATTTTCTCTTTGCATAAGAAGTGTTTTAACAAAGACTTTCAGTATCATAGCCATGATTTAGCCATTATTGTTTACTGAATCATACTGAATCGATTTGAAATATATCTTATCAAATCGAAAGCTCTCTTTATCAAGATCATCATTTCACATCATTTTTGTTCTTGGTGAGGGCGGACGTATTTCTTTCCTGTCCTGCTCTGTCTTTATACTTTTAGAGACTCTATCCGCTCTGCTCTCCGAACCCAAATTAACTATGGATTTGATAACTCGGTCACTCGATTCAAATGACATGAGGAAATGTGTAATTGTTTTTAATCACTGTAAAGCTCTTTGTGTTGCATTTTTGTATGAAAAGCGCTCTATAAATAAACTTTGATTGATTGATTGAAGATATGTATCGTATCGTGGTCTATGTATCGAGGTGTGTATCGTATCGGCAGTTTCTTAATGATACCCAGCCCTCGTCATGGTAAAGCTAACAACACACCTCCTGGTTTGCTGACGATATTTGATGCTGACGGCACAGTGATCTCAATTGTTTCTCATCAATCTGTAATCATTGCTACACTCTATTGCATGACAAAAACGAGGTACAGACTCTTTCACGTATTCCTTTAAAATATAAGCTCCTTTACTTGTGAGGTCCAGATGCCTGCGGTGGCCAGACAGAGGTGAAGCCCACAGCCCCAGCGGGATGTAATAATGAAGACTTTGACTGTGTTTGACATTTAAAGTGCAACAGTCACCACCAATTAAGGACAGACCGGGCCATACACTGTAACTACTGAGACAATGGGACAATGGGACAGGCCCAGGGGGACAGGGGGAGTGTGGGTGGAGATGGAGGGGTGGACTCTATGGGACACTGTGAGAATAGGAGGTCCGTCCATGCTCAACATCTCACCTAACACCGCTGTGGGCACCAGGGGGTCGTTGGGCACTGTAGGAGGAAACATGGTGAGGAGGCGTGCTTTCAAATTATACATTCACCTTTACAGCAGATAGACTTATTGAAATTTAAAGCAAGTGTAAGAACCTGTGAAAGTTGAGGCATGATTATTTAAGTTAGTAGTATAAATGTGAATTTACTAAGTATGTAGTGTCAAGTATCATTACCAATCCCATGTATAAACTGAAATAAAAGCAACCAAATCTGTGTAATTGCTGGGTTTCAGATAATATCAACACTGAGTAACACACAAATATGAGTAAAAACAGGGAGAAATTCTAAAATGAATATTGTTAAAATTCAGTTTTTTGTAGTAATACAATAATGCAGTGGGTTCTTGAGTCAAGTTACTAATAGAAATGATCATTTTCAACGTTTGTGCATTTGCCTTTTGGATATTTCACGTTATGTTATGAATTCATAGGCTTCAAATCAAAATATTATATCTTCTGAATGGGAAAAGGTTCTCACAAAGTTCTTCAAATGTGGAAGGAATTGCTTGTCTGAAACCCATAAATAGGGAAAACTAGCCCCCCTTCTGGGAGTGTGATCACATTGTGGAATCTGATGTATTTTCCAAATTATTAAAGTGAAAAAATGCACAGCTCATCCAGATGGCTGATGTCTAAAAGCCCTTTCACCTTCAAAATAACGTTTTGGCAAAAAAAGCCTTCATCAGATACATTTCCTGCCCTGGACTACAGCACATGAGCAAATTATTAAACATAAATTATTAGTAAGTTTGATGTAGTGATGGCTGTATAATTCAGGTAAGGTCATTTTAGAATTCTTTTCATTCATGGTGCCAACAGTTGTAAATTTAGTTTGTTCTCTCATTAGTTGTAACATTAAAATTTGACTTTGTCTGAAATCCCAAGCCATATAATCTCTCCTAAACTGTACAGCATTGTTTCCCTAAGACTAAATCGTGGCCTTCAGGTGGGTCACAACTTACAGGAGATTTTTTTTGGGTCACCTCGTCACAATCTGCATGTAGGTCTGTAATATACAATTTTGACACATGAGAGAGCTAGTGTGTCAGTGAATCCTATCTGCCTGCGCTGAATGAGTGTTTCTGCAGCTAAAGTTGAGAAATACTTGCTTGGTTGTCAAAACGTAACATCAACCTGCCCAGGGACTACAGGTGGAAATAAGCACTGGCGCTATAACCTGGTACAACAAATCTCTCCTGTTAAGGTTAATGTATATTGTGCACTGTCCCTGTCTCATTAAATTAATAACCTAAACTACACTAAACTAAAAAAGAAGGGTGATAAATCAGCAAAGGTCAGTGCACTCCAGGATATTTATAGATACCTTTTTTTTGGCTGATTTAATTACTTTTCATTGTTTAAAACTTGTGTAATTTGACTCCAATTCAAAGGTGTCCAAATAGAGGCGTCTTGGCGCATTTTTTGACACCGCGGTCTGAATGGACCATAATTCTAATTGTTCAGAGAGACATGATCGCTCAGTCAACACTAAAATATCCTCATTAATGTTCAATAAAGGTCAAATCCACCTTTATTTTGTACGAATAATGTCTATTAATTTGGGTCGTGAAGGTTTGTGACTTTTAAAGTATGGGTTTCCCAGAAAAAAAAACTTTAGGAAACACTGCTATACAGGATATGAATAACAAAATATTTTTTGCTATACCTGGTTCATTTGCTCATTTGCATCATAGACAGTATCATCACTTCATTAGAGTAACTATTATTACCATTCAAGTTAATTAAACCTACATCTGTTGTTGTAGTTGTGGCTGTCCATAAAGGTCACAGCCATGGGGTCGTCTCCGTGGAGCGTGCTCTGGTCGGCATAGCTACGGTCCATGGCGTTCACCATGTGCGTCATTTCCTGCCGCGTCGTCCCAATGGCGTCTTTGCGTTTTTTCGCCAGTTTCCTGTTTGGAGCAGAGACACAGTAAAATAAAGTTAGACGTTTTATCGTTTACAACATTAGCCCAGTCACCTACGCCTTATGATGTTGTAAGGCTGCAAACCATCATAGCCAGGAGAAATACCAAGCAAGGAGAGTAGAGGAGGAGCTTATTACGGTAGTGGCAGCATGTACCAGACTTAGAAAGGACCAATATTAGGACAGAAGCATTTCTCGTAACCCAGGGAAAAGTACCAAAACATATGAGAAGCAATGGGGAGAGCGTAACTAAAGGTAAGCATGAGTTTAAACCAAGCCACCACCAAATAAAGTTCTACTACTATTACAACTACTGCTTGTACTACTGTATTTATATTTTTGATTTAATGTATATATTTCTTTTTTTAAATAATGCTCTTTATGACTCTTCCCACTTCAGTTGCAGTCACCAGTAGTCCCCAAAAATACTTAGATAAACATTTTTGTCAATATCACCCACTTTTACTTTTAAAGGGCCCATATTATGCTACTTTCTGATCTTTTATAATGTTGTTTCCTCATGAAAAACATTCCTGGGGCTGTGTTTTGCTTTATTCACACATGTTTAACATAAACCCTGTATATTTAGGTCCTTCTATCAAACAGAAAACACTCAGTAACACCTTGTGATGTCATCTCGTAATACAAAAGTGATCCATTCAGTTTTTAAACTCCATACACATTCACTAGAATAATTTGGTTAATTTCAGCCCTGAAATTGCCAATCTCTACCGAGTAAAAGTTAAAAGGTACCTGTTAACTTGAAAACTACCACTTCATGACATCACAAGGTGGAATAGAGCATTTAGAGCTTTGGAGACAGCCTAATAAAGCAGGATTACTCAAACATGTGGAATGAAACGCAACCGAACTCTAGGTATGTTTTTGAGGAAGTAACAATATTCTAAAGTGGTGTAAATCTTAAAAAGTCAATTTCAGGTAATATAAAACCTTTAACAGACATATTTTTTTCTTTCTTCATAACATTAGGTGTATTTTTAACTTTCTTATTTGTCATATTGAGTTGTTTTTCTAGCATCAGACAGGTGCCCGGTGAAGAAAAATCACGTCTTCGAATGCAAGCATCAAAGTATGGCTGTTTAAACTTTCTCTCTCGGTGCGTACGATCCATCAAATCCTAGGGCCATCACGGCAAAGGGATTAATACGTCAAGCATGACAGAGCGTGCAGGAGAGTGTGTACCAGAGCCGCAGATACACATCAGTTTGAACAACGAGGGGACCAATGATAGTGGAGATCCTGCTCGTTGTGTCTCAGCTTGGAAAGCAACAACAGTACTGTGCTAAAGTTTGTGTGCATTTGAGTGTGTGAGTGTGTCTGTGTGTGTGTTTTTAGTAAGGCTATAAACCAAGAAATTCCATTCAGTGTGACAGATTTATAAAAAGGGGCTAAACAAACCTCTGCCAAGACACTTCTGTGGAAAACTATACAGTTTAAAGTGGAACTAAACACTAAATCAACTTTATTTTTCTACAAAACTGGGTATATGGCGTTTTAATAGCATATTCTACTACAGTTCCTATTCCTTTTTTGACAATTTTAGTGCAAAACAAGTAAATGTGCAGCTCAGTGGTCAAAAATGTATAAAAATATGTGCGTGCTGGCTTCCACAGTGACCTCCACAGTTTCAGGTACTTGGTGACATCAATCAACACTACCCTGAATACAGCCAGGTGTTTCTGAGTACAAAAATCCAGCTGCAGGGACAGAGTTTGGAAGGTGGATACCTGTGGATACTTCACAGTGTTCCTCCCCCGCCCCTCCTTCCCTCTCACTTTCTAATTAACCCTGCATTCGATAATCCTTCTGAATCGGTTTTCCAAGGAAGTTGCCTAGCGACACATGTGACACGCCCCTTTTCCTGGAATGGCGCGACTCGGACCTCGGTGGTGAAAAAGTAGACCGAGCAAGGATTCAGAGTCAGAATCCAAGATGGCTGTGCCCACTGTGATGTGTAAATATGAACTGTCTTCATTGTGTTTGGACATTTAGGTTGTTTAAATGATAATTTCATTCACTAGTATTAGTGCAATACCTCACCTCGTCCATATCACTGTCTATGTGTATGGGAGTCAGTGTTGTGGTGAGGTCAGTATTGAAGAAATACTTGATTTAATGGGCGTTAATGTCCCTAAGGTTGTAACGGAAGAAAAAGTTTAATTAATTGAAGTGGCAGAGTATTCATAAAATGAGGGAATAGTCATCATCATAATCTACGTAGTCCGACACACGAAACATAATAATACGCTTCAAGCTCGGACATGATGTCAAATCAGAGGTTCAAGTGGGAGTCGGAAGATAAACAAACGCAGGGTTAGTCTTCCAGGTACTGCCCAGTTGAGCAGCTCTATTTGAATTGTGTTTTTGGGCAGAGTTTAGGTGTTTAGTCCCACTTTAAGTACTTCTAATACCTCTTTGAATCAAACCTATAATTTCCTTAGTTCTAGACTTCACACTGTATCAGAACATTTCCTTGGAATATCAACAAAATTATATACTGACACCTTATTAAGACCACCACAAATGTTAACATTTTATTCTTGGTTTATTTAAGCACTTGTTCATTTTGTACCTCACTAGACTTTGGCACAGTACTGTAGTTTCTGTTGTCAAACTGATACTATGAACAGCTCGGACTTCTTCCTGACAAACACACATAAAGCATGCTCATTGTATTCAATGTTTTACCTCCGGTCTCCCAACACACACCAACTCCACCTCTACGATGCATTAGTCAGTACACATACACTCGCATGAGGAGTAAAACAGGTTTAGCTTAAGGATTACAAAGTTGGTATAACTTAATAGCATTCCTTTACAGTTTCCTGATGTGATATTGTTAAGTAATCCTTTTAAGACCAGCCGGTAAGAAACATGAAGCAATACTCAAAAGCAGAATATCCCACTAAAACAAAAGACCATTGTTAAAACTAGTAAAGCCAGAGAAGCCGCCATGTTTGTCGGGACCGTGATTTCCTGTGAGGTGATGGGCGATGGATGGTCACATGACTACATGCACACAAAGAGCTACAGTTCACAAGTGCAGCATCCTTTTTTCAAATAACACCAACACTGGAGTTAGCTTCGGAGCAACTTTGGAGCATGTAGAGGGCACCGGGGAGAGGTCCATTCACTTTCAAGTTCAGAGAAGATACCAGAAATATGGCCTCAAATGTACGTATTGAAAATTAAGATTAAAAAAAGATATATTTAGTTTCATCGTCATCCTAAACTAATAGTCCAAAGTGAATTGACCTCTATCCTGGCAAGGCGTCAATGAAGATGGCTTTGAAAATGTGTTGTTCTTGAAAAAAGTATACTGCATCTTTAAAAAAATAATAACAACAACTAAGCCACTAAGTCGCCCAATAAGGTAACAGCAGCTGACCGTTGGTTAGTAGTTTACTTACAGGTAATAAGAGTATGAATAGTAGGTCCTCCTGGGGTTGTGAGCCAATCAGAAAGCAAAGAATGAGACACAAGGGTCATGAATATGCAAATAAGGACAAAACCTGCTGTCCTGTTCCAACCAACATCGACAGAAACAGAAATAAAAACAACTTTGCTGGCTTCCACTACAGCCTAAGGTTCATGCATGGGGTTGAGATACAAACTAGGGGCTCTCTTTTTGGAAATTAAAACTAAATAAACGAAAGCTAACGGTAAAATTCAAGTTTATTTCTCTTCCACATGCAGTATTTTGAGAGCTAAACATGTTTCTATGCGCTATTCATGCACTAATAGCTTCTCTAACTGACTGGTGGTGTCTTATACTTATACTCGTCTCTGTATTCATTCACCTGTATAACCAATGAATCTGTAACACCAGGTTTTACGATACGGAGCCAGCATGATGTCACCACAGTGCCATCATGTCCCACCATTTTAAAGATGCAGTATTGTTCAAAGCTGGAAAAGGATCGATGGGATAATGATGATTGATCTCCCCAGAAACTACTGCAAACTCCTCTCACTGCAAATATCACTACCAAAAATACTTCAGGACAGTCAATAATGGAAGTAATATGTGTATTTAGAGCGTGGGTTGGAAGAGATATTTTTTGGGTCACGATCTGCATGTAGGCTGAAATGTTAAGACATGTTTTGTATAATTTCTAATCTTTTTGTAATGATTTTATTGACTATTTTGTTCCAATATTGCTGGTTTAATTGAATGTAGAAAAGAAAAAGAAACGGGCTAGATTTAATGTCCAAATAGGCGACTTTTTATATTTTTATTGCTGATTCAATTACTGTTTTTAATTGTTTAAAACTTGAGTAATACTAATTGTTAAGAGAGACATGATCACTCAGTCAACAATAAAATATTATCATTAAATCCACCTTTATTTCATGATTTATAAATAATGTCTATTGACTTATGTCGCAAAAAAATATGGGTCCCTAGAAAAAAAAAGTTTGGGAAACACTGATTTAGAGGAAAGGTAAGAGTTATTTATATTGAATGTGAACAATACACAGATTAAGACTAGTTGTAAGCACAAAAAGCAATTATTTAACGTTTGATGATGTCATTATTATCAAAAAACTAGACATTTTTTATTATTTCAAAACAGTTGCGCTGATTAAAATTTTTTAATCGAGCCATATTTGCTGGCATTTTGATATCATGTTGAATGTTCTGCCCACTACAGAGAGCAATAATGAAGCCTTTATATCAACTTTTTGGTCTTAATTTAATCATTAATTTATTTATTTGCTCATTTTTTTCAAACTTGAGACTGGGAAGTGTACATTGTCTTTGTACCTATGTAATAAAATGGTCATGAGCTGCCTCTATGGTGGATAAAAATAGACATAAGTGGTGGTTCACTTTTAGCTCTGCTCTTTTCGTCATATTGTAATATAACATAATTACTCCTTCACATCTGAATAACTATACCCCAAGAACTCATTACAGTTTGGTGTAAAAAAAAAAAAAAAAAAAAAAAAAAAAAGAGTTTGCTTTAGTTCATTAGTGAGTGCACGTTCTAATTGTTTTGGATTTGCCAAGTGTCATCCTGATTCCTCCTAATGAGAGCGAGAGCTGGGTTTTCCTAAAGCCTGAGGCCAAATGAAATGTTTGGGGAAATTACACTTCTCTTAAAGTGTAAAGTGTTAGGCTCCTTCTTTGATATTTTTAGACCAAATGTTTCCAGGAATAAACGCGCTCATTTTCTCTAGAAAAAGGAAATACAACAATATAAAGAAAATATGGTCCATTTTGTAAGTGTATGTGTAATGTGGGGAGTGGTGATTTTAAATTCTCTATTAAATTTAAAGGTACAAATAACTACTAAATCAGAACAGCTGAAGGAAATTGTGGAGGCTGTTATGACATGGTATAACCACATGGGGGAGCCCTGTACCAAATAAACACAGACAAGGAGAGCGAACCTACATTACTTTGCTTATTTCAGACTGCTATTTTATACAGCTTTTATTTACTTCAATGAGGACCTTTTATGTTTGCACTGCACTGATTCAATTTGATTATGATTTGATTACAAATTTTAATAAATATATATGAATTATACGTTTCTGTTTTGTCCTTTAGTTTCCGAGGGGAGATCAACATTCATGGTGGATGGATGGAAGATGGTGTTACACTAAAGCGAGTAGCGCACTGCCACACAACAATAGGATGAGTTTAAACTTTAAATCCACGTGTGTGTTGCTCTGTGTCTGCTGCATGCTCTCAGTGCATGTATCAAGTGCTGTAATACGCTGTAAATATTACAACATTACCATTTGAACATTATGTCACTGTAAAATATATTTGTTTATGTTTGACTGTCTCACCTCTTCTTGACCAGGAGGATGGCCACCAGAACTAACAGGATGAAGACCAAGACTCCGGCGCTGATCCCAGCTATTTTCACCACGCGGTCAGCTCGCTTCTCAGGGTCTGGAATGACTTCTGGCTCCTCTGTAGCACCTACAAGCAATACAATTACAGCGCACACTTCAGTACCTTGAGCATGTGTTAGTACTTCAATTGATCCAATAACTATGTAGCCAGTAACAATGCATTTTGTTTTTCTGAAACTTGGAAGGCAAATTGCTGTATTTGCAAGTCAAAAGCACTCAACTGACCAAATCAAAAGCTCATTTTATTTTAGCTTTACTATTGCACATGCTACAGAAATAGTACCAATACACTAAGATGTCAGAGATACACTGCTCTAGTTTCATACACTTCATATTGACTTTAGCCTGTTCCCCAAATAAAGCTAAATGCTGGCACAGAGTGACTATTTACAAATCCTTCTGAGACTGGAGGCTGCTCTGTGATGCCACTTCGCAGCTTTGGGGGGGGTTCTGACTGGTTCCTCCACAAAATGCCCTGACAACAGTGGAGTGGAGAAGGTGATAAGGAAACAGGCGGTATTTAAAAGGCACTCTAATGATGTGATTAAGTGCAGAGTTAGGTAAGGCAGCACAGACAGAGGCTGACACATGCGCCATGGTAATATGCATTTATAATGTAATTATAGCTCAAGCTCTGACAAGCTTCATTAGAAAAGAGCTTATATGTAATACGCCTGGTCTAATGATATATCCTGAAATATCTCTGTAACATTATCACTGTCATTAACAAGACCACTTCAAACAAATCCAAATATTAAGGGTTCACTTTGAGTTGTATAAATCTAGACAATAAAACAACATCTCCTGCAAAGTGAACTAGAAAAATACTTTCAAAAACAAGAAGTTCTGTAGAGAAATGAGTGAACATTTTTGTGTTTGCGGCACAGATGGAGAGTTTAAAACACTGTACATAAGGCTATCTACTGATTAGTCACAGCGTAAGATGACAGAAGTCCACTTTAAAGATGCCATGTCATCACAAAAGAAAACAGAACTAATCCATTTGCCGCACTGAAATGTCACAGCACTTTTTCTGAGACTTGCATGTTCCACATTTTTATATCTTAATTAAGTCTTACGATTGTATCTTAATTTTACACTATAATGATCATTTTTAAATGTCTATGATCTTGATTTTCTGTCTCAGTTATAAAAGTCAAAGGTACACGATTCAGGACATTTAAAGGTGCACTATGTTACTTTTCTGCTTGTCTCGTTGGAAATGCCTTGTCTGACATGTTCATGATGTATATATCGCCATGGAAACACCAGGCTGAGTTACAGGTCAGATCTGTGGAGAGGCGATCTCGTTCAGACTAAGCATGCATGCTTTTCAATGTATTTTTGAGCAATTAAAAAAAATCATCTGTAATTGAATAAATACAATATAGATAGTGCACTTTTAACTCACAATCAAATACTTTTTAAAGCTCCTATATGACACAAAACTGACTTATGTGAGTTTTTAGTGATGTTAGAATGTGTTTTCCTCCTTAAAAACATGCCCAGAGTTGTCTTTTGTTTCATTTACACATGTTTGAGTAACCCTGGATTATTAGGCTGTCTGCATCCTTAAAGATCAAAATGCTCTTTTCCACCTTATGATGTCATGAAGCTGCAGTTTTCAAGTAAACAGCTGGCAATTCTCGGTCTGAAACTTTCCAAATGATTCCAATGAAGTTGTATGGAGTTTAAAAACACTGTTCATGTATTACCACATCACAAGTTGGAAGAGTGTTTTCTGTTTGAGAGAAGAACTCAGCCTGAATATGCAGGGTTTGTGTGTTAAACATGTGAATGAAACAAAACACAACTCCGGGTGTGTTTTTGACGAAGAAACAACATTATAACGTGGATTTGACAACAGTATCTTTACCAAAATATATATATAAAAAAAACTATCATTATATTGTAGATACCTTCAGACCGTTCTCCTAGTCTCTTGTACTGGGTCAATAGCAGAACAAAAGTAATCATTCCCACACACTCCCAGTCTTCCCTGTCTGATTTAATTGGGCTTTCTCACTGGAGCGGCATGTACTAAATCAATTAGACGTCTTTGGGCTGTAACCACACAAACATTTGTAATAAGACTCCCTCAACGGTTCAATTGACTGTGAGTTTTCGCATTGTTTTTCGGTTCATCCCTGGCACCACTCCACCTCTACCAATGGGGAATCGCTGCTCAGAATGTGATTTGACTGGAGCTGTCCGGAACGTCTCGGCTCCGGTGTTGTTGAATATTACTTGTACTCAGACTCATTTCACCGCATGATGACTTCTGAGGATTGAGCAAACTCGCCTGATTTGGTCTGTTTTGGGAGATAATTTACCAAGTCTATGCACTGGAGTTCGCTGGTGTAAAGTGGAAACACTAATGGTGAAATAGCGTGCGTGTAAAAGGAAAAAAAGCATCTGTTTTTTGTTTCTAATCTCTACTTAGCCATCATAGTTCATGCGCTGGTATAAGAATATTAGCGAGTATTATTATAATCCCAATAATCCAACGAGACCTATGCAAAAACTCGGTGTAGAGCAATACATCTACGGAAAAGTAATCCATTCTCTTAATACGAAATGTCAACAAATCAGTCTTTATCTGCTGTGGTATTTGCAATATTACATGGCTATAAAATGTAACAGGGAGATATCATTATGCAATGTTATTATGCCCCAGAGAGCTGCAACCCTGTGGCAGGAGATGATAGAACTACCATAGGAGATAGGGTTAATGTATATTTTGTTATTAAAGGTATAAAATAGAGGATTTGCATTCAAAATACACTATAAGTCATTGTTAGAATACATAAATTCCACTTTAGTCTTTATTTTCTTGTTCTACATGAATGGGTTATTGACATTTCTGCAAACCAACAGCAAAATCACTTCATTTTACTTAATGATCAATGTTGTTTTTAGATGTGAAGTCTATCAGGTAATGGTCATTTGTAGGGATGTAACGATAGCCAAATCTCACGGTACGATATTATCACGATATGCATTTCACGGTACGATATTTATTGCGATATTTTGAAAAGGTTAATATAATTGCAGATGGGACGCTTTTTTGCTTTTAAAATACCTTGACAAGATTTTGGTGTGAATTATTACGGTCATAATCGCAAGAATTCAAGTAAAAAACATATCTCTTCATGTTGTCTGCACTGAAATGAATCATGGGATATGTAGTTTCTGATGTTTATAAGCTGTTGTTACTATAAAACCATGCATTTAAGCAAAGGAACTTGTAATTCGATATATTGTAACAGTCCACGATATTATTGTGAGACTTTTGACGATACAATCTCATGATATTTCAGATATTATTACATCCCAAGTGATTTGTAAAGAAACATAAAGCAAAAAGGGGTCACATTTAAAAGTAAAACACTTGAAGGTGTACCTGACTTTATTCTTGAAAATGAGTATAAATAATTTTTGCCTCAGATTGCTGAGCTCTGGCTGCATCTAATAGTATTTTATCAATTGCAAACCTGGACGGTAGAGCCAAAAGCAGCGCATTTGATTGGTCTTGGAGGTCTGTTACTACTACACTTGTGAAAAAAGCTGTTCTATTTCTCACAAATACGTGCATGTGAATACTAGCGATGTGCCGAAGGCTTTGTGAGAGTTAAGAGCTTACATTTTGCACTCAGAGTTTGAAGATTGGGTAACGCTGCTTTAAGATATCTTTGTTATAAACATGACACTTGACTTGACAACATCGATAATAAGTGTGGGTTTACCCATAACAAGCGAGGCATTTTAAACAGAAGAATGTCAAGAAAGAGATCGAATAGCTGCTTTTGTTACTGCATTTTGTTTCCACACCAAGGTTGATAACAAGAAAAATCTAGTGAACAATACTGCAAATTACTTCTACCTGTTAAAAATACACTTAAGATGTATGAGACAACCATTCCTTTGTATTACCTAAACAATCCAAAGTCTGACTTGCAGCAAAAATTGACTGAAGGATTTGAAATAAGAACTGCAGACTCACACTAGTTTATAATTCATTTAAAGGGCACTTGTTAGGTCACGAAAATAACTCTCTGTTGTGATGGATCGACAGAATGGAAAAACCCCGCCAAAGTCATTCTGTATTATCATTTCGTGTCAGGTTTTGACTATTGTCTCTCTGTTGTTCACCGGCGGGTCGGTCAAATCCACAGGGGAGGCGGGTCACAATAGTCGTCGTGGCAAAATGAGAAAAACAGTTTGTGAAAAGGGTTTGGGTTTGACCTCGTAATGGCGGCGAAAGCTCTTAATGTAAAGCGCATTCGGGTCAGCTCGCTAACAATCACACTAGCCCCTGGGCGGTAAAGTCAAGATACAAAGGCCCGGGTGACCTAATGGGGCCGTCCTGTACTGGAGGTGGGTGAGGGAGGGAGGGAGAGTGCCAAGGGGATGTGAAGAATAGGACGGATAATAGAGCACTTTGAGCATTAGGCTATACTGCATAGCAACACAATAATAACATCAGTATCCCTCTAAGATATCTTATACATCAGCTGGGACTTCATAGGACATGACTTTGGTCCTTTTAGACTCACATGCTTTAAATAAGGGAATTAAATGATATAATATAACTCATTCATCTTTTAAAATCAGTAATTATGATCTTAAGTTGATGTATGGCCACTTGGATTGATATGAACATGGAGGAGAGAGTGTAGAAACTGCACTGCATAATTTTAGCCATAGAGTTATGATGAATTTTATTATTATTTTAAGCCATAGTATGTAACTTCTCTGCCAAAAAAATGACTAAACTAAAAGCAGTTGTTTGTTTTTTTTCATTATGGATGTGATTATAGCTCTGAAAAACGTGTCCTTACTTTGAGCAGGCTTGCATTTCCACAAACCTGACTCTTATTTGGCCTTCCTCCTGCTTGTTGCTTGGAAACGTTCATTAACTTGCATAACTTGAATAACATTTTGGGAAAAAGCCTTCGTCAGATCATTTCTTTTTCTTTGGACCACAGTTTTGGACATCGGCCATCTGAGAGTGCTATGCCTTTTCTTAAGTTGCTGCTCCTTGCATTTGCACCTCTATAAGAACTTAAGAACTTAAGAGCCTTTTCTGTTTCAATTGAATGTTGTTCCTTTCGTCATAATGTTCCTCAGTGTGCCATAAAACGTATTTATTTTCATGGAATCATGTAGTTGACTTGCCAACTCCAGAAAATTACATACTATCACTTTAATTGACCTTTTTTATATGTTGAACTGCACAAAAATAAATAAATGTTTAAATAAATAAACACTGATGAACAACTACTCACTTGCACATGCATCATTCTAGGCCATTTGGATTAAATGTGGACTTATATTGTATATTTTGCCTAACTTATAGAACATAAGCACTTATTTTTGTTCTAATACTGTTTACTTCGCCCACATTTTTTTTTTTTTTTACAATAACATTAACAAGATCCCAACTGCCAGATGCCGCAGTGACAGACAACTCCACTGCACCGGTGTTAATGTATTTTGCTGTTTATCCGTGTTCTTACTGCTCCGGCTCACCTCTGATCCCTCCGCGGCGTTTCTGAAAATCTTTCCTGAAAACAGTGTGTTTGTGTGCGCCTCTGCACCAGTGTCTATGCACCGCTGTTTGTGCACTATCCTGGTGGGATTAAAGCCACACCATCTAAACCGGCTTGATAATCTCTCAACATATGGCAGCCGGCGGAAAACATGACATTCAGATGCTCTGTTGGTGCGCTACACAAATAACTGTAGTCCCTAATAGTTATCACATCAGTTGCATAGTTGGCCTATTGGTGCTGCTTTGTGTAGAATATTCCAGAGTACGGCATTCATCTAGTTCCATGGAGTTTATCAAGTGATGCGAAAACTAAGGCGAAGCTACAGGTCCAGATCTGTGGAGAGGCGACCCAGTTTAGAGTAGTATGCTTTTTCTTATAATGATGTAGTTTATAGCAATAACATCTTCCTGAGACAAGCAGGTGGCAGACTGTCAAAAAGAAAAGTTACATAGTAGGGCTGGGCAGTAATACTGTATTACAGTATCCTGCGGTATCAAAAAGTAGCAATGGTATCAGTTTTATTACCGTCATTAAAAAAATCTGCAGCGCATGAGGACCAAATGAATGTGTGATATTTTTAATTTAATGCTATCACTATTTAAAACTAATAGCGTCTATAATGTTTCTTGTAACTGCGTGGGGAGATGACGTTCGATTAGTTTCGCTCTGTTCTCACATGACGCTCATAAGGGAGACCGAGACAAGATGGCAAGTCCAGCTGTAAGCGAGTTGGTCCTAAGAATAAATAAATAAAAAAAAACTAGTACTTCTGTAATCTGGCAGCACTTTGGCTTCAGGCGCACATTTGTTTACGTTTTACAGAAATGAAACTTTGGCTCATTTGAATAAAAACAGCTCGCTCCTTGTGCACTGATACAGTTCAGCTTCTGTCGGACTAAAGGACAGGACTCACTGGATTATATGTGTTCTTTCAGTGACAGAGGATGTGCTGCTGATGGTGAGTCTGTTCTGTGTGTGCACCGCGTTGGAGATGATTTATGAGAAACTTTTCAGAGATTTTAAGTCTACAGGTCATACGCAGAGACAATATAGCGATACTAAAACATTTTGGTAATACAGTAATACCATATACCCCGGTAAAATCCTGAGAAGGTTTAAGTGTATCAACATTTTGATACTGCCCAACCCTATTACATAGTGCACCTTTAAGTTATTTTTACACTTTCCTTGCAAACTTATCATGTTTTACACTAGTACAAATAATTCATATTCTTAATATATGTGAAATACAAGGCTGTGAACAATATTGACAATAAACAGACAATGAAAAGTGGATGCAAACTAAAATTGCAAATTGGGAAGCTATTCATTTGACTGAGAGAGTGGTTGGCTTTTGTTATGCTGCAATAAAAGCAGTGCAGCTACCCCCTTAACGTACATAAACAGAATGAATGAATAATATCTTCATAATTAAAAAAGTAAATGCAATTGTACATTGACAATTTGCGGACAGCTTCATTGACAGAAAGAGGACAAAGAGAATAAATTGGCTGCCGCATTAAGCTAATTGTGCTAATGACGGCTGCTGTGGCTAAAATGTTTTTCTTTTATGAGTAATTAGCAGAGCGCTCCCCGTCAAATGTCAATTGACCAAAGATAATTTGTTTACTCACTTTTAGTAGCTAGCCTCAGACACTGCGTTTTTGTCTCCTGGAAGAGAAAAAAACATTTAAATTTCAAACGGTTTTACTTTAATGTTAAGTTCATCCAAATGTGCCTATGGAGGTTTTATGTATTGCGAATTAATTTGTTAATCAGTGTGTCATTACCCTCTCAGTGCTGCTCACGGCTTGGAGGTAAATGTTGTAGTTCTTTCTTGGAGCCAGAGGAGGATTCCAGAAGCCCTAAAATAAAAATAGGAATTAATAAGGTCTTACAACATAATTAATAATGCATATTTTATATTGATTGGCCTTGTAATTGCTTATGATGCCACATACGTACATGCAATTTGTTTTTGTTTTGTCACACAATACCACACACAGTACATTTGATAGTTCTTGATGAATATTGTTACAGCCTATTTTGTGTAATCATTTAGTTACGGTAAATATTTGGCTAATCTGTCTGTCAATATCAATTTCCGAGCAACAGTTTTATGGACGGGGCGTTTTCTATGGGTTGTTTATTGCTAAAAGATGACATATTTAGATCACCATGTTACCTTTTATTGTTTTAAAAATGCTAAAAACGCCAAAATAAATAATTAACATGTTTAATGAGTAACTCGCCCCTTCAGAGCCGTTTCATAACACAATCGTCATCCGCTCCTCTAATGAAACTACTGCACATTACATCAGGTTTGTGAAGTTGCAGTGTGTTGTTTTGTATCATGCATTTGTATATTTATAGAAAATTGCTGTGCAGGAGTATTGGACAGGATTGTTTTGATAACCAAAAGAAGGTTTGAATAGTGCCCAGGAGAGATCACTAGAGCACTCAAACATGCATGAATGACACATAAAACCACAGGCATGTTTTTGATCAGAAAACAACATTATAACCTGGTGGAATGCTTCAAAAAGTTGATTTTGCTTAAAGGGACAGTCTGGAATTTTGTACATAGGGCCTCATTTCCAAGTGAGCCAGAGTGTTGGAGACGTGTGGAGATACTTTTTAAAATATTCCATCCAGTCCTTGTATTTGCAGAGGTCGCTGGTGCTAGGCTAGTGCATGTCAATGGCCATAGTTAGTCTGCCACTAAAAACAGTCTTACCCACTCCACAAAACACCCGAAGCAAATCTATTATAACACCAAACTGTCGATGTAAATGTCTGTGTCGATAGAATAATTTTACAAGTAAAACCAACCTTAAATTTGAAGATTTAAGTCTGAGCAGCAGCAGGGAGTTGTACTTGCTGATAGAAAGCTCGGCAGCGGCGGACTGATATATGAGAAAATAGTCCCTGAACATGCGACGATTCATGCGATGCAAGGTTAGTTTTAGTTCAAACATTATTCTATCAACACAGACATTCACATCGACATTCTGGGGTAATAATAGATTTGCTTCAGGTGTTTTGTGGCAGGATAACTATGGCCGTTGACATGCACTAGTCTAGCACCAGTGACCTCTGCAAATACAAGGACTGGATGGAATATTTTAAAAAGTGTCTCCACACGTCTGCAACACTCTGGCTCACTAGGAAATGAGGCCCTATGTACAAAATTCTGGACTGCCCTTTAATAAATCTCTCTAAACTATTTTATTTTCAAATAGCTCTCTAAGCAAATAAATACTATTCAACTATTTGGTCAACATAATCTGTGAGGGCATAATAAAATTACCTGGTAGGTTTTGTTGTCTCCCACTGTAAAGGGGAGGGGCTCGGGCAGGTTACTCGGCGATAACTGGGCAGCATAGTAGTACGGAGAGCCACTGATAGATGCGCTGTGGTAGGACACCGGCACCTGAAAACACAAAAACATTTAGAACAACTCGTATTTGTAGATATAGTTACATCTATGAACGGAGTGTTATGCATTAAAGCGTATTAATGACCTCGTAGCAGTCCGAAGAAGCTTGCCGGCGAGAGCGCTGTGGGTTCACTTCCGCGACCACAATCTGGTACGCACTGTAAAAGCAAATTAATTACAGAGCTGGCAGAAACAATGGTAGTAGGCAATAGTAAACCAAATAGAGTTGTGAGACCTTAATATTTTAATTACTGTACACTGGCTGTGTTTGTCCCACTCACACACCCACATAATGAATGGGTTCCACTGAGTCTAAGCTAATATTTTTGAATTGAATTACCTGTTGCAGATAAATAAAAACTAAACAGAAATAATGAGAAATCAGCACTTTATTTAGGAGGATAGGATTATGGTATTAATTAACTAGTGTGTTTCATTCTCAGTAAACTATTTGTTCATTATAAACTAAGTGCTTTAAGATTATTTAAAGGATCTATGTATATCTAACTCTCTGTATTTGAGCAAAACATGTCTTGCCCAAGTACAGATAAATTGTATAAGCAGCTCTTGAGGTCAAAATATGTCAGCTGCTTTGTGCTTTTTATTGTCCAATAATCAGGAAGTAAACATTAGCATACTAGTAGTTAGTGTTACGGCAACAGCAAAACTACACACTGGTCTCTGAGAGCAGTGAAAAGCGCTTAGAAACTCATCATAGTGAATAATTAGACCATACTTTGGAGCTCTGCTAATTATTTAAAATAAACTAAATCTGTTTTCATGGTTTTAGAATACTAGGGGTGTGACGATATCCAAGTCTCACAATAAGATATCGTCACGGTATGAACCTCATGGTATGATATTTATTACGATATCGTGGGAAAGCTCACGATAGGGATGTAACAATATCCAAATCTCTCTGTACGATATTTTCACAATATACATCTCACTGTATGCTATTTATTGCGATATTTTGTGGAGACTAAACAGCTAAAACTGTTAATATGTGACTTTTTCCACTTAAAATGCCTTGACACGACATAATCAAAAGAACTGAGACTTAAAAGTGCTTAGAACTGTTATTTCTTCTTGTGGTCTACACTGAAATAGAGCAAAGGATCATGGTCTATGTAGTTCCCTCCTTCTTTTTTTTAGCTGTTGCTGCACCATAACTCTTAATTTAATCAAAGAGACTTGTAATTCGATATATTGTGATGGTCCACGATATTATTGTGAGAACTTTGACCTATTTTAGAATAAATATAAATAAACAAAACAAAAAAAATAAAGATCATAATAAACATGTCTTTGTAGTTTATGAAGGCTTGTTAATGTGTATTTTAATTATTTATTAATTTTTTTATGTATTTACTTTGGGCAAGTAAGAGATTTACATTCTTATACAATGGAAAATGAAATCATAATAGAAATAACCACAAATAAAAACAAAATATTGCCCAAAAATGAGTGGGAAGAAGAAAACTTATTTCAACCTACCCCCCTCTTTTAATTTAACATGAGCTTTCTTTTGCATTTTTCAGACATTAGACATATTTGTTTTTATAAAGTGTCACCCCTAACCATTTATGCAGATGTATATTTACCTTATTGGTGCTCCTTTGGCCTGGGCTGGCTTAAGCAACACTGTAATCGTCGTTGCAGTTTCGTTCAAAAAGGCCTCAGATCCATCATACTCCTCCAAAGTAGGAGCTGCAGAAGGATTATACATTTGAAAATAATATTCATTTTAGAAAGAACAAAAGTTGAGAATTATTTTGATCTTACCTGATATATTGGTGGTGACATTGAGTGTGGTTGCCGGTCCGAAGCCTTTGGAGGTGGATGCCCTGATTGACAGCTGGTAGGTGACGCCAGGATTGAGTTGAGAAAACAGGTGATGTGTTGCATTAGAGGGCAAAAACACTGCTGGGTCCGGGCGCTGGAGGGGTACAGATGGGTCGAAGGATCGCAGTACATTGTAGGTAAGCTTTGTTAGGACAGAAATAAACAGAAATACTGGGTTAGCATTGTGAAAATCCTGAAGTTGATATTTTATTACTAATATTTAGAACTATACCTCATACTGAATGATGATGCCATTGGGCTCTGTTGGTTCTTTCCACATCAGAAGAATCCTGTCCTCAAAAGGAGTCGCTTTTAGAGACTGGCTGGGAACAGATCCTGGGACTGTGGGTGAAGAAATATATAAGATAAATATCAGTTGTTGTGTAATAAGTTTGCAAAATTTCAACTTTATTTATGTTTTTTATTATAAGTTTAATATAAGCATGTATATTTTCCAGTTTAATATGGGAGGTCATTGAATAAAGATGTAATTTCTCATCACATATTATAATGTTTAACTCAACCATAGCTCCAAAAAATAAAATAAGAAACATAGTGACGTTCAAATATCAAATGTGTATGATGCAGTTTCAATTCTATATTCAATCTTCTCTTAAAAGCTTGTCTGATGCACATACTTGTTGTTATATTTTTGTTATGTGTTTTCACATTGCCAGGTTACTCCAATACTCTCAAGTATTGTATGTTGCGGTAGAGAAAAATTGTCTTGTCACTCAAACTATTGAAGAAATAGATGCGGTGTGTTCAATTTTCAAATACATACCATCCTCATCTGTTTGAATGATAGTCTCATCGCTTTCCTTGCGTCCCTCTGGGTTGGTCAAAATCATCTTCAAACTCACATTGGTGTAGGGAGGCAGGTTTCCAACTACATGTCTTGGCGCTGAAATAGTAAAAAACAAACACTTTGGTTAAGATGGAAAGTCTAAAGAAAATCAGAAACTGTCACAGGTACAAGTGGGTGCCCTCACCCTTGGGGTCCATGTCCAGGCAGTCGGCCTTGCTGCGGTTGTTAGCGGTCATGTAGTGGTAGCAGATGGTGACGTTGAAGGTGTGACAGCGCGTGATATTGTAGCCCAAAGACTCCCAGTCCACGGCGATCAGACGAGAACGGGTTTCAGCGATCTTTAGACGCTTCGGGGTCCGCATGGGCTCTGCAAAGAAGAGAAGCAACTAATGATGAGTGACTTCAGAGTGCAATGCAAGTTTTGCAATTAATATTCGCTTAAGGCTTGAGTTTATGATAGTAGTTCAATAACACACCATCTTCTTTTACACAACGAAAGCTATATGAAGTTACTTGCTATATAGATTTTACAATTGCTGATATTGTGTATTGTTTGAAACCCAGGGGCATAGCACCATTAGTTGATTTCTTCCCTAAATGAACAGACTATGGCATAAATGTGCTGTGCATTGCCAGGAGGACCACCGCACCGCGCTGACTCAGCACTGTCCCTAAGTACAACAACACTATTTTATGAGCCTCTGTTCCTGCTCCTTGATGCCATTAAGCCATTTGTAAAATGCAATAACTCCTACAAGGGACGCCTCTGATTTCTATCCTATGTGGATTGAGAACTGTTATTGTCAATATAATCTACCTCCTCTGCTTTCAGCCAGGGGCTTTAATTACCTTAACTGGCTCATTTAACCAGATCGATATGCCCCCAGATCCCCCTACATTTACACACGCATACAACAGGCTATTTGCAAATGGGCCACAATAAATCAGGAGTACACCAACCTAAATCAAGACTAATCCAAGACTAAACCAAGAATAAACCAGGACTCAACCAGGACCAGACCAGTTTATATCAAAATATACGGAGATAAGAGCTAGGATCTACAATAAACAAACAAGGAACCAGGAAAAAACAAAATTAAAATAAAAAATGCAGTAGTCCGAGATTTGGTACATTATTTAACCACCCCCTCCACCAAGTATCTACAGTATCTGTCACATGAATGCCTAGATGGAGCAGATTGAACCAGCAACTTTCACCAAAATCATGGCTGTAACAACACTAAATCAGAATAAGAAATTAAAACAGGTATAATCCAGGATGACATGACTCCAATAGACCTTTACTCATTAAGTTAATTAATTGGCTGATGGGGTCTTAGAGTATTAGTTGATTTATTTCATTTAGAGAACAGGAAAGAAAAAGTTGGTGAGTTATCTGAAGATTTTGTATTTTTGGTATTTATATGTGGAAAGGCAGGTTAAAATGATTCACAAGTCAGATACAGAGTAAAATTTTGAGAGCTTTTGCGAAACCTTTTCTGATCAGCAGGACATGTCTTTAGTTGACCAAGAATTTATTTATTTGACTTAAGCCCTAGACACCGGGACAAAACTGACAGTAGACTAATTTAGAAGCTAGGATCCTTCACTTTACTCAACAGACTTTGTGCAAACAGTGGACCAAGTCTTCGGTGCCAGTTCATATCCTCGCACTAAATTTCCCCTCAGAATGACATGTCAAGTATGTTTACCTTCCTCAGAATCCCCTGCCTCTGCCCGGCACTGTCTGACCACCTCACACAAAACAGCCAGGCCTTTAGCTCCTGTGGCAACTCATCTATCAAGAGCAGCTGCCAACTGAAGAAAGCTTTTATTCAATATTTCTCAACTTTGATAGATATGAACTGTGTCTCCTGTGGTCAGACAGAAGCTCAGAAAAAAGGCTTGTGCTTTGGTGGTGTAACATGAGGCAACTGTAGTCCAAGAGTGAAGAGATTATATGATGGACAAGGAAATGTTATTATTTTTGGATATTTTTGTTTGTTTGTTTGTTTGTATGTATATTATAAGTTGGTTTGACAATAGGCCTGTACGATTAATCACACTGTAATCGAAAATTTAGTCATTTCTAACAGGATCAGGTTTTGAATGGAGAGGTCTACTGTCCATCCTCTGTCATTAAAAAATAAAAACATGTGGTTTGGAGTAGGGATGGGCTGACACGGATTTTTTGAGCTGATACAGATGTCCGATATTTGGCTTGCTGCTGTGTATCAATATCAGCTAATACTGATACTGATACTGATACTGGAACTGATAAATCGCCTATCCCTACTTTGGCACAGACTTCGAGATTTAGAGTAAGAAATCTTTTTTATATATACTTTTTTTTTTTTCGTTAAAAGGCAATGATCAATGGACTAAATACATTTGAATCAAAAATCTAGGTCAGGGGTATCAAACTCAAATTCACAGAGGGTCAAAATTAAAAACTAGGAGTAAGTCATGGGCCAAACTAAACATTTATTAGAGGTGTAACAATAATTGAAGTATCGTGATATCATATCGTCAAAGTTCTCACAATAATATCATGAACCATCACGATACATCCAATTACAAGTCTCTTTGTTTAAATTAAGATTTATGGTGCAGCAATAGCTAAAAAAAAAGACAGAGGGAACTACATAGACCATGATCCTTTGTTCCATTTCAGTGCAGACTACAAGAAGAAATAACACTTCTAACCACTTTTAAGTCTTAGTTCTTTGGATTATGTCTTGTTAAGGAATTTTAGGAGGAAAAAGTAGCATATTAACAGTTTTAGCTGTTTAGCCTCCACAAAATATTGCAATAAATATCGTACCGTGAGATGTAGGCTTTATTGTGAAAATATCGTACCAAGAGATTTGGATATTGTTAAATCCCTAATCATGAGCCTCCCCACCATATCGTGAGCTTTCCCACGATATCGCAATAAATATCGTACTGTGAGGTTCATACCGTGACGATATCATATTGTGAGACTTGGATATTGTTACACCCATAATATTTATTGAACACTGAATCCAGAACAAGCATAATATAAAATAATAACAACATTTTTAATAAATAATGCCTCTATAACCTGTTTAGAGCCGGTGGGCCAGCTTTAATACATATTTGACATGATCTCGCTGGCCAAATATAATTATATCATGGTCCAAATTTGGCCCCCGTGCCTGAGTTTGACATGTCTGATCTACTTCAATCAATATGAGGGGGAAAACTGTGATTTGTTTTTACACATCAGCCAGCTCTCAGTAACAGTGCGTGAAAAATTTAACCTGTAATGTAATAACCTAGTACCTCATCTAAAAAAGGACTAATCCAAAACTAAACCTGGAGTAGCAGTTTAGTTTAGTGTTAAAGTGCTAGACCAGGACTTCAGCATGACTAAGTAGCGACCAGACCAGGACTTAATTGGTTTTAAACCTGGAGAAAGTCAGGGCCAGAAGACAGCTGGGATATGAAAAATGTCACCCTTAAATTGGTCCAGCTGCATCAACAAACAATACACTTTAAAAAAAAATTACAACAGTACTGTCAACCATTCGATCCTCAAAATTGTTTCCGGCATTGTTTTGGAACGCCCAAACAGACACCCTTATAACTATAATTAAAACTCATCTTTGTCCTGTGCACAACTTGAAAAGCAACCATTTGCCACGACACCAGCCGCCCCGTCACATCACTTGTTGCCTCTCCACTTCTCAACACGTCCTCCCTGAAGTTTAATAATGATAAAATTCCACCTTAAAAGCAGATATCCTCTCCTCCATCCTCTGCATATGGTGGTGTTTTTCCTTAGGCTTGACTCTCAGAAGGGGAGAAGAAGACAACACAAGGACACAAACTTGTCGCGTCTTCTGACAAGCCATTATCTATGTGTCACTCACGCGCAGGCAGTTATTACCCCGACCACGGCGCACACGCGGGCTCCAGGTTGTGACAGAATCAAGATTAAATCAGGGAGGAGAAAGAGAGAGTGTGTATGTGTGTAGGTCTTAATAAAACTTCTAATAATAAGACTGCTCTGTCAAGGGCGAATGCAAGTCGTATTTTTAAAGCCCACAAGGTAGTATTTTTAGTTTGAAATGCTGTGTGGACTGGGTTAAAATCTACTATGTAATATTGGTGCCACAGAGGACTCAGTGAATTATTGTGAGAATGGGGTCAGAAAGTACAAAAGACATACTGTTTGAAATAATAACTACTTGAGAAAAGGTACAATATTACTAAATGAGAGACTAAATGAAAGACTACTCACTTATTAGTGCTACATTTTATTTTGAATTACTTAAAACAACTCAAAGTATTTCAGTCAATACAGAAATTTAGAGATTGTCTACTTTCACGCCCACTCTTCCTGTCGGTCAACCTTTGTCATGCTCAGAGCGAGTGACAAGCGGATTCAACCAATCACAGTAAAGACTGAACTCTCGGGAAGAAGAGTTAATTAGATTACCTCTAAGAATTGATGTGAAACTCAAAATGTAACTCAGGTTAATCTGTGTAACATCCATTCATTCGTTTTTCAATATAAAACCAAAAATAAGAAAATGAAAAAACAACTATTTTCTTCATTATTTGTCTCCAAAACCAAAATGAAAAAATGGATAATGATTCATTTTTTCAATTTTCGATTTTGTGTTTAAAAAAGGTTTCCGGGACTTAAACTGTGATGGTGGACTGAACCAGGACTGAACCAGGACTAAACCAGGTCCAGGACCAGACAGGAAACAGACTGGGACTGAGACCAGGACTTAAACCGGGAACGAGACCGGCACCAGGACCAGGGCTGAAACCGAGACTAAGACCAGGACTGAGACCGGAACCAGACCAGGACCAGACACGGACTAAGACCAGGACTGAGACTGGGACCAGACCAGGACTGAACATGGTTTAGTCCTGGTTTAGTCCTGGTTCAGTCCGTATGTGGCACAAAAGTCCGGCATTGCAGTTTAAGTGACAGAAATGGGAAACGGCTGTTATCTGTTTTTCCCATTATTCAACTATTATTCGAAACTCAAAAACTGAAAAAATGAATCATTATCCATTTTGAAAAACGAATAAATGATACACGGATTCAGGTTCTATGAAAATAGTGATTTATATTTTCCACCATTTTGTTTGACAATCTAGGTTTTATAATCAATAAATAAACTCTGAATTTTAATTAAAGTCTCTTATTGCAGACCTATGTTTATGTACAAGTTTGTGGATGTGAATTGTTGCAAAATACCTTCCACCTTTAAGAAGTGACAGTATATTATAAATTGCTCTTTGACATCTAAATACACTGTGGTATTTGTGAATATAAACATCTTGCTAATAGCAGTCCAGAAGCTGACGTGAAATAGAATGAAA